CTCCCCACTCTGTCTCTGGTGAAGCCTCTCGCCACCCCTGAGCCTCTGGCCTGTACCCCAGTTCTGTATGAACAAATAAATAAATCAATCTTTAAAAAAAAAATTATGTGTTCTGGATATTTAACTTCTGAACCCATTTTCTCATCGGACAAATGGCTTCTGTAAGTATGAGGTCTTTGATAAAGTCGTAATTATAAAAGCTAGCATACCAGGTAAAATACAGTGTTGATTATAACAAATTAATTTTTGAAGCTTGCCTTATATCTCAGAAAGGATTTTACTTGGTATTTGGTTCCTAATATGTGGTTTTGTCTTGAATTTATACATGAATCTCATTGTCTTTCTCAGTTTCAAGGACTGAATTTACATTTTTCTTTGTTTTAATACAAATGAAGATCTCATAAGTAGGCAGTCAAAATTAATTAGGGGCATAGGTATTGTCTTTGCTCTGTTGACCATGTGGAATAGATAATTATGAAATGGATATTAAGACAGTATATAGTGATATACAAATTACACTAGAGTGTTTAACCATGAATAGGCTAAAAGACAAGACAAATTTAGAAAATTAAAACTGAGCTAGGTTGGGCCTCCCTGGTGGCACAGGGATTAAAGGCACAACACTATCTAGTAGTCTCCACCCATTGCAAGTTGAGTTTGATCCCCAGTCAGAGAACCCACATGGCACAGCAGACCTCTCCTGTCTTGCCTGCTGCTTGCCTCAGCAGTATATTTCAGTAAATTTGACTGCTCTGCTCTCCACTCTGTCTCTGGTAAATCTTCTCACCACCCACACTCCCCTGCTACCACCCCCCCACACCCACACACACCTGTGGCCTACACTTCAGTTCTTGTATGCATAAATAAATAAATCTCTAAAAAATAAAATTGAGCTAAGGATAAGGCAAATATAAACAAACACCCTTGAAGTCCTATAAACTTGTTATATAAGAGATTATATACATTTTGACTTAGAAAATTCTAATTGCCCATTTATATAGAGAGCTGTATCAGTTGCATCATCTAATGTTCAGTCAAAAATTATATATTCTTGATATTTTTAATGATAGATGAATAATTTCCATTCTCAAAGAAGGAGCACTTTTTTGTTTTGGCCGGTCTACCTTAATAAATAATTTGAATAGTTTAATAATACATAAATGCAAATTGAAGCTTTGGAACACTAAGAAATATATCTTAAAACTTGTTTTAAGTTAAGATTGCCATTAATCTATTACTGACTTTAATATGGGTATTAACAGATTTCCTTTTTCTTTTATAGGTATTGCCCTTCCTGTAAAACTGATTCCAGCGAAGTTGTTAAGGCTGGTGAACGACTCAAGATGAGTAAAAAGAAAGCAAAAATGCCATCAGCAAGTACTGAAAGCCGGAGAGACTGGGGCAGGGTAAAGAAGAAAGTTTCTTCTTTCTTGTTACACTATTTGCTATCATAATGCAAGTTAGAATGTTGTAGTACCAATAATAGCAAAGGTGTAGGTGGTATTTAAGTATAAGATATAATAGCAAATAGTTTTATTTAGTCATAAGTTGTTATGCCATAACTGTTAGTTTTGTTAATGTCATTATATAAGTTATCATATGTTTAACATGTAAAAAGTTGGGTTTCTATTCTGTTCCCACTTTGTGAGAATTAAGGGCTTTCTTTAAGATTTTACACAACTAATTTCTCAAACAGCTTTTTCTGTGACTTGTAGGGAATGGCCTGTGTTGGTCGCACTAAAGAATGTACTATCGTTCCTTCCAATCATTATGGTCCTATTCCTGGGATCCCTGTAGGATCAACTTGGAGATTTAGAGTTCAGGTATGTTTTTGAATAGGCTTATTTGAAATGGTAAATGTTGGTACAGTTCAAATTATAACAGTGTCAGTGTCTACTGATTAAATGGACTAATTTAGGAAGTATCAAATGGCCCTCAGTTGTTAGAATAAGATTTTCTGTAGTTTGGGTATCCTCTATCCAGAGGAACATTCACCATGGAATTAGTCATTGCTCTGCCTTTTCATCAGTGTTTTACTCTTCTGTTATTACTATGGTGGTTAATATTCATAGTATATTAAACTCTAAAGAATCATCTTGCCAAAAATTTCAACACATAATTCAAAAATTAAATTAAAACATTAATCTCTTTATTGAGGTAAAATTGATTTATAACACTTTATATTATTTAGCAGCATAGGTTCACACCTAGCTAAACTATTAATTTTTTTATGTTATGTGGTAAGTTCTCATTTATGTAATTGAACACCAAGAAAACTTATTTCAGGTGTTTTTCTTTGGGGCTTATCCTCCTGAATGAATGTTATTAAGATAGGCATTGATCAAAGGGAGTGCTAGATAATCCAAGGGTAAAATTACTTCTCTTTTTTCCTGAAGATGCTCTGATTTCTTCTTTAGAAAGGTACTTTTGTGGAAACTACCTTTTATTATTCTTATGGAAAATTTAATGTTAAAAAAAAGAAAATCTCTTTGTTTAAGCAGTTTCCAGTTAGAGCTACTTAGGATTCTGAACTTTAAATAAACATAAATTGGCCTTGGTGCTTAGAATGTGAATATAATTTTATTTTATAATGTAATAATGTAACACACACATTCAGCTTGAAGAGTTATATATGTGTATATGATGTGCAGTTTAAAAATTACACCTTTCATCCCCATTTCTCTTTCTCAGAGACAACCATTTTATAGTTTTAGTCAATTCTTCTGGATTTACCTCATTTCTACATGACATGTTTATATTGCTTGTACGTCACATTTTAGCTTTATTAACTTCCTGCTATGGAAAGAACATTTAGTTCAATACAATTTACTCACCCTCCCCATTCTTATAAAGATTATATTATAATTTGGCCAAATGTTTATGTAGTCAGTGTTTATATTTTATGACTTTGGATCTATAAATACAGTGTGCTAACTACAATAATATCTACAATAAAAATAAACTTTGTGTATTTTTAATTGCCTTCTTTTTAATGTATTTTCTGTGCTTGTCATGAATTAATTCCCAAACTCTAAAAGCCCTTCTAATATTATAGTCTAAGACAACTTTGAGATTGTTGGCCTGACTATAACTAGAAAGATTACTCACCATTTAGGAAGTGGGCAATATTCAGGACAGATTTTTTGTCAGGGTTGGTGAGATTGTAAATTAAAGTGATCTTGTATGTTAAGTACTGTCATTTCTAAGGCCTCAATCTGAGTTCTGTTTTTCTTACCAGCTTCTTGTTTCTTTCTAATGTGCCTCTTTCCGTAACCTACTATGCAGACTTGGATTTCAGCTTTTGTTTCTTTGTTAAGAACATTGTATGGTAAACACATAAATTACAAAACTTCTCTCAAGAAATCTGAAAAACACAAATAAATGACACTTGTTTCAGTGAGCCAGAATTGAAGGGGGAATGGGATGGTTAAGCAGAGTCATTTAAATGGGAGAATAGCATGAAGTTAAGCAATGGGTAGCATATTTGGGTAAAATCATTTAGTTTTAGCTCAAACATGTAGGCTCCTTAAAGGAGAAGCTGGAGGTTAGAAAGGAAAATAGACAGGAGCAAGATTGAGAGAGGGTAATGTGTAATACTTAATTTAAACTTGATACTATATGACAATTTATTTTAAGTAGTTGCACATTAAAAGCAATTTTTTTCTACTTATCAACATCACTGTGTTTGTAATGGGTAGAAAGGGCTTGAAGGAACAACATTAGCGGCAATGAGAAAAAGGGGTCTATTTTAAATATTTGTGACTCAAACTAAGTGGAAGTAGAAGTAGAAAAAATAGTTTAGCAAACCTTTGAAATCTTAACTGCAGAATTGAGGCTACCATAGTGGCTGGAGGAGAAAGCAAAGGATAAAGGAAGCTCAGTGGACTGTCAAGGAGGATTATGAGTGCTTAGGTGGTTGGCGTGGTGTAGTCACATACATTCAGAGAGGTGTGAACCTGTACTCCTTAAATATACAATATTGCATACCAACATTACCTTAGTAAAAATATTAAATGGTTTTGAGAGGCTTGGGAAATTAAATCAGCAGTATATTGTGACGAAATGGGTTTAAAGAGTAAAGGAAAAGAATGACACTAAAAATGACTATTGCATTTTTGACTTGGCTAGGGATCATTGCAATAATCATATATAAGGATAAGAAGGAAGAGATCTAGATCCCTGAAAGTAAACTGCTTTTTAAGTCAGTTGAGCTGGACTTGTCAATGTATTTATGATAGTTATAACATAGTAATTTTGAAAATCAGAGTTCTAAGTCTGAGTGGCTTTAAGAATGATCAGCTCAGTACCTGAGGAGATATACTTGGGAAGAATTAAAGTCAGCGATTAAAACATAGAACTCTAGGTGACATTCAGATGTTAGTTGGGGGTCAAGAATATATGTGAAAGCAAATTGTAAATTTAGCTTAACTAAGGTTTCAACTATATTTTAAGTTTCTCATTTATTTTATAGGTGAGTGAAGCAGGTGTCCATAGGCCCCATGTTGGCGGAATTCATGGTCGAAGTAATGATGGAGCTTATTCTCTTGTCTTGGCTGGTGGATTTGCAGATGAAGTAGTAAGTCCTGATATAATCTTGTTCTTTAGAACTTGTATGAAGGATGGCTTTAAACTTTTAGTGGTGAACTTAATAAAGCATATACAGATGTTGATTTATAATGATGTGTACATGAAATTTATATAGTGTTCTAAACCAGTTTTACTTTAATTTGAAAAAAAATTATAAAAAACTTTATTTTACCATGGCAGTTGGTGACCTTTAAAAAAGTCTTCAGATTTGGGCCCTCCTTGGTAACGCAGTGGGTTTGGATGCAGCACTGCAAGCTAGCAGCAGCCACTTCAATGTGAATTCCATCCCCGGCCCCCGAGGTGATCCACAGCGACAGACCTCTCCTGACCTGCCAGTTGCTCCCCTCAGCAGTGTACATTATTGATCTGTTTTGCTCCCTGCTCTGTCTTTGGTGAAGCCTCTCACTGCCACTGCACCTCTGGCCTGTACCCCAGTTCTGTATGAATAACTAAATAAAATCTTTAAAAAAAAATAAAACTTGAGAATTAAAAAAAAAAGTCTTCAGATTTAAAACAGGGGGAGGAGGAGAACCTGTCTTAAGCATTCAGTAAAATACAAGAGGCTTTGTCCAGGAAATAATCAGATCCCATCTCTTATTTGGCATAGTTTTTCTTATTCAAGTGAATAGTTGCATATTAGTTATAATAGCATATAAGTCAGCAGTCTTTGTGTGTACTGATTTGATTTACATATACATGTAGTAACGAATTATTACAATGAAAACATATTCTTTATTGAATTCATTTTTAAAAGTTAAACTTCTTAACTTGATATTTTGTAGCCTGACATGTAACACTGAAAATAATACAGAAACCTCTGTGCCCTTTACCCATTGTCCCCTAATAGTACCATCTTGCAAAACTATCTTATAATATCATAATCAGGATATTGGTATATCGATACGTGCAGGATAGTGAACATTTCCTTATCACAAGGATCCCACCTGTTACCTTTTTATTGCCACACCCTCTACACTTCATTTCCCCAACTCTTCCTTAAGCATTTACAAGTGCTAATCTGTTCTTTACATCAAAATTTTGTCACTTCAAAAATTTTTACAAGGAGAATCTTATAGCATGTAACCTTTGGGACTGACTTTTCTTTACAGTATAATTCTCGAAATTGTGGGATATGTCAATATTTCACTTTTTTAAACTGTCAAGTAGTAGTCCATTTCATAGGTATATCACAGTTTGTTTAGCCACTAACTTGTTGAAAAACAGTTGGGGCTATTATGAATAAAACTAAAATTTTATTCACATGTTATTTCTCTCTCTTTCTCCTAATATAAATGTCCACCTCTCTGTGATATTGTGATAAATGCTCAGAAATGTAGATTACTGGCTGTATGGCAGCTACATATTTAGTTTTTTTAAGAAACTGCCAAGATATTTCCCAGAGTGACTGTACCAGTTTATCTTCCTATCACCAGTATATGAATAATCCAGATTCTTGTCATCCTGACGAGCATTATTTGGTGGTAGTGTCATGTTTTATTTTAGCCATCCTGATAGGGATATGTCATTGTACTGGGTTTGTTTTTATTATTATTTTTTTTTTTTAGATTTATTTTATTTATTCATGCATGCAAGAACTGGGCTGTGGGCCGGAGAAGTGGGGGTGCAAGAGGAAGATGTAAGAGCATTCACTGGAGACAGAATAGAGAGTGAAACAGACAGATCTAGTGAAGTACATTGCATAAGGCAACACAGGAGAGGTCTGCTGCGCTATTGGGTCAGCTTCCTGACTGGAATTGGAATCATGTTGTAGTAGCTGGCAATAGCTTGATAAAGCTGAGGCTTCAAACCCTGAGCCACCAGGGAAAGTACTCATTTTCCCAATGACTGATGATGTTGGACATGATTAATTTGCTTATTTTCTATACATAGAGCTTTTTTGAGGTTTTGATTGTCAAATATGTGATCTGCTGGTATTTTCTCCTAGTCTGTTCTGTTTCCTAGCTTTCATGATATGTTATGATGAATTGACGTAGCTATGGAGAGCACAAAATGTAGTTTGTCTTAAGAAGTAGAAAAGTTTGCCCTCTTTCTGAAAGGCAGATTTGTTGTATATATATTATTAGCCTAGCAAAAGAAATTAAATATGGAAATATTCAGACTAATCCTTTTTGAGTATTCCTATAATATACACATTTCAAAGCTGTATATTTAAATATTTTATGGAATACAAAGGATGTAACATAGTTTATTACAATCAGCACTTAGCATTTTTTTAAGGCTCTATAAGAAAACAAGCCGTCAAAAAAAATGGAATCTCCTTAACATTTGTTTTTAGTAGCTAGCTAATTATATTTGATCTGGGCTCTGACATTTCTTGTATGTAATTCATTGGCCAAATTATTTAATTCCATTAAACCTCATTTTTCCCATGTGTGAAATTAAAAAAAAAAAGTATTTTATTTTCTATCAGAAAGTTATTGGTATTAACAAGGGTTCAAATAGTTCTGTTGTCTGTAGCAGAAGCTCTTCATAAATATATGAAGCATATTAACATGTAGTTGTCAAGCTAAAACAGTAACCAAGTTGAACTGTGATGGGTGTTATTACTTTTCTTTCCATCTTTTGAAATATGGTTACTAGTCAAACTTAGACTTTTGTGGTGAAAAGTATTGGGGAACGGTTGATTATGTGCCTTAAGCAGTTAATTTTAAGTCTTATTAAATTATGTGAATAATTTATCTATGGAGTAAAATACGTCGGCTTAGATTGCCGGCTAAGATGTATAGCTGTTACTCTATTTTATAGGCATTTTCAACCTTTTGGTTTTATTGTAGGCAAGTCCAAGCTACAGAAATAGGTGGAGGAAACCTACATAAACTTCTTATTTGAGAAGAAAATTGTGCTGAGATTTTTAAATTTGGTGTAACATTCATGGAAATGATGATAATTGTCCTATTGGAATAAGTGGACATAAAAATATAAAATAAATGCTCATTGTAAAATGCTAGTTTTAGAGACTTATGTTTGGGCACTAATTTCTCACTTGAGAAATGAGTCCCCACCAACAAAGATAGATCTGCCTTTTATAGTTTTTCTAAAAAGCAGTTGACTCATTGGTCAGGATTAGTTTCTGGAGCCAAGTTACTTTGGTATGTGTTCTGGTTCATCTCTTCCTAGCTATGTAACTTTAACAAGTTACTGCCCCCCCCCCACTTCATCTATAAAATAAGGTTTCTAATAACTACTTCATATAGTGAATATAATTTTGTAAGCCCACAAAATATGAAAATACCTTGCTTTTAGAATTTAAAATTTAGCAGCAAACTTCGTTATTGTGTAGACTGCAACTGAGAAATCAATTATGGAGTGTCTATTAAAGTAAAGTAGTATTCTATATAGAATCCACAAGTTAGTGCTGGTAAGTTTAGTAGTACTGAATTAAATGAAGCAATATGTCTAACTCATGAGATCTTATTTTGTAGTATTTAATAAATTACATAATATAGCCTGAGAATAACCACTTTCGAAGGTGTTAAAATTTATAAATTTAAAATGGAATCTTTAGATCAAAAGGGGGGATGTCTTGCAAGGACTGTGGGTGCCTTGGTGGTGTAGAGCTATGGTGACCACACTGAGGGGGAATCCTCTACTGTCAAAATACTAACGATGATGTAAAACAGTTAATTTTATATGTGTATGTGTACTTGTTTTTGTTTTATATATAAAGCATTGCTGTAAAACACTGCTAATTTTATATATATACACATACACACGTGTATATATATATACACATACATACACACATATACGTATGTATGGATACATATAATTAACTTCGGAATACAAAAGAAAATCTTTGTTCAGTCAGTGTGACTAAAAGTTATACTACTTAAAGGTGTACTACACACACGATTGCATTTGAAATTTTCCCCTATTTTTGTAAAGAAAACACCCCTCAGGCCCCAACCAGATCTTCTGAATCTGAAACAAGAATTAGTGAAATTATACTTGGGTTTAAGTGTCTTACTGCTAAAATCTTCTCCTGTAGGACCGTGGTGACGAATTCACATACACTGGGAGTGGTGGTAAAAATCTTGCTGGTAATAAAAGAATCGGTGCACCATCGGCTGATCAAACATTAACAAACATGAACAGGTATCTTGAGTTTGTAAAGACTTTTAGAATGTAACCTTTGATTACAGGATTACAGTTTGTAACTTAGACTCTAGAGGAATATCTTAAATTGATAATTAAATAACTCAAGTTAAAATTCCTTTACTGATTATGTAACTGTTTGTAAGCATTCTGACTTATTTCTCTGTGTCTTTATTTTTAAAATGGCGTAATTCCTAGTTTTAATACATGTACTTTGCATTTCAAAACTTTAAAGGGAAGGAATTCACATAATATAAGTAAAATTGAGAACTAGGTGGCTTATTTATTACCCCATAAGTTAAAGTTTTTTCTACTCATCATATATTTATCTTTGGAAGTGACAGATTTCTTTCTAGAGATTACTCTAGAAAAATGGTTATGTCTGAGAGGTCACGTTTATGTGTATAAGCAAAACACCAGATAACTCAATCAGTACTATACCCAAGGTCATTTTAGGATTTATAATAATATGTGATGTCTTTTAAGTGTTATAAAATAGAACATTCTTTTCCTTACAAAGTGACCTTTTCTGACTAAATGCTTATAAGGCATTACAAGAGCCACCTTGTGCTGACCTTTATTCTACATAAGTATTAAGTAACATTCTAGCTTTCTTGACAACGTAAAATTTTATACCTTCTAAAGTATTTTATTTCATAAAAGAATACATTCTAATACCAATAATAATTGATTAAGTAACCAAACCAATTAGATAGCAACAATCACATTTTAACTTGGTCATACTGATAATTTTGTGATCATTTCATAAAGTTGAAAAGTTTTGTATCCATTAAGAGTGTTTTTGTGAATTATTGAGTAAAAGTGAGTTTTTTTTTTTGCTTTGAGTCTAAATCAGTTTTAAGTAGTGTGCCCTTAACTTATTATTTACTGTGTAAAGAATATACCAGTATGATTTTAAGACTTTGTTGAATACCAGGTTACATAGACTCTGTTTTTATGTCTTCCTTCTATATTATTTCTGACAGTAGGATTATTTTACTGAACCAGCAGAGGAGACAGGTCAGATTTGCTGGTGAAAACATTCCTGAGTCAGGAGTCCTGTCCCTAGCTAGTATTTTCTAGCAAGAAAGCAGCTCTTCAGGAGAAATGATCCTAAGTTAGAAATATTTTGATGTGTTTTCATCTATGAAAATGTATATCAAATTTGCAAAAGGGTTTTTTCAAGCTGTCAAATCTGAAAATTTTATTTTCCTTCTAATAATTAGATTATTTTGCTTGAATGAAACTTCCCTGCTTACTACTTGCTTTTTACAGAGTAGATTCTTTTCAAGCTATTGAACAATCTAATAGGCACACCCTGTTTACCATCTATTACACTCATGTCATAAAATAATTGACAAGCAGTAAAAGTGTTTATAATAAAAGGGAGATACTGAATTTGAAATATTAACTCAAAACCATTTAGAATTGACATCAGTGAGCCTAACATTCATTTAGTTAATTTTTACACTAAACTGTGAGTACCCTTGTAATTGAACAAGCTTTTGGGCAAATCTCCCTGTATGTTTAATGAACATGAAAACTGATGTAAAACGGCACTGACCCATGACATAATCTTCCCTGACTAGTATACAGTCTAAAAGGTACTGATGCCTACTTCTTGCTTTTAAGAAGTTTGTTCCTGTTTCTTCTCAGCTTTTCCACTTTATGAAACTGAAGAGAGTACCAAGGTAACCTTACTATCCTTTATCAGGGCACTTAGAGGCAACCCATTGAGCTGTAGGTAAAGGGAAAGCCTTATTGTTATTTTAACTCATTTCATCATCTGGGACTCTTCACATATTTAAACTTCCTGCAAACTACATGAAACTAGAAGTGAGTTAACAATGTCAATTAGTGGTGGCAGTTATTATGACTGAAGGTACCTGTGAGTACCAAAGCATTCTACTCATTAATAAGAAGGTAGTACTAAACCTTATTCTAGCACTTAGATAAATGTATATTTCATAGGTATTCCCTAGATAAGATGTAATAGTAACTCTAGAGGTGATGGCTATATTTTCTTCTACTCTCCAAAATTTTAATGCATCTCCCTTTGAAATAAAGAAAGGTAACTTGGCAAACTTCAACTCTGACTACATCTATGTTTGTTTGTTTTTTAACAATCACTTTCTTAAATTCATTTACTTTAACAACATAACTCTTATCAAGTGATTTCAATACATTAGCCATTTAAGTTTAATTGAGCCTGAAAGAAAGGATCTATATTCAGAAGTAGTATTTTGTATTGTATTTTATTTTACCAGATTGTGTGTGTGCGTGTAATTTTATGTGTTCTCAGTGATTTCTTTTCACTTAACTTAGGAAATAGGTATCTTAAAGGAAAAAAATACTAATTTTAAACAAATTCTAGGTTGGGTTGGGATTTTTGAGGGTTTTTTTGGTGGGTTGGGGGGCAGGCAGGATTAAATTCTGCCAAGAAAGGTCTTCTAACATCTACTAAACTTAATGATTACTTACTACTAACAGAGTATACATATTGAGGAAGCTTCATCTAAAATCAGGTGCTGCTTCCAATTTAGTGTTTCTCCTTTCTTCATGTATCATCAGTAAAATGTAGTGATCTTAAGCAACCAGAAATCTTTATTGTCATGCTTTAGCACCGACATTTACTTTATTTAAGTTTATCTTTTTACTGGAGGTCTTTAAAGGATATTCTCATATGGAACTTGTTCTAAATATCTTCTAAGCTTTAAGGAATCTCTATTGTATGGAATGTGGAAAGTAGACACAGAAAGGTCATTTGTACCTTGCTGCCAAATTTATTTTTCTGGATTTCTTCCTACATTATTCCAGCAATTTACTTCACTCCCTTATCAGAAATAACTTACAAAAATCACTTGCTTTAGCTTTCCAACTTTCTCCCTCCCCTCAACAAACGTTATTTAAAGAAAATTCCATGTATTTCTAGTTGTTTTCTATTATACGTGGCACAGATGTTATTACTTTCAGAAGAACCCTACAGGCTATCTGAGAACCAATCCCCTGGCTTGGGGGTGACATCAGAAAACTGATTTGTCTTCTCTGCTGGTGGGGGAAAGCATAATCCTATTATCTGGAATAATATGGAAAGAATCATAGAATCTTAACCATCAGGTAAGGCAAAATTCACCTTTTAATTGAGCTAATGATGCGTTATATACTTGAAGAAAGATTACTTGGTATAAAGACTTTGTTTTATTTTTTAGGGCGTTGGCCCTAAACTGTGATGCTCCATTGGATGATAAAATTGGAGCAGAGTCTCGGAATTGGAGAGCTGGTAAGCCAGTCAGAGTGATACGCAGTTTTAAAGGGAGGAAGATCAGCAAATATGCTCCTGAAGAAGGCAACAGATATGATGGCATTTATAAGGTGCTCTATCTGGCATGACATCTTGTTAGTCATTCTTCTTGGGCTTTCAAGATAGGGTTACTATAGGGAACTACTCTACTGTGGGTGGGCTAGAGGAAACAGACAATTTTCATTGGAATTTTTACTTTTCTAAAAATGTAGCAGATGTACAAGTGAGCTCTAAACTTGAATACTTTTAAGGCTATTTGAAGTCCCTAAGGGCAGAGTCATATTTTGGGTTAAGCTTTTTACAATCATATTCTTTATGATAAGACCACTTAAATAACTTTGCCATTATAGATTTTTATTCTTATATATCTTTCAGAATGATTGTAATTGTTTTCAAAGAAGAACATATTATAATTTTTTAAATAGTTTGTATTCTTTGTTTAAAGCAAGCATCTACTGCCAGCATTTTGTCTACTACTATGTACACTTCTGTTTACTAATGAGCATAATCTTGTTACTATTTCAAATGGGTGGCATTCTGTACTTGCAGAAACATTAATAAACATACTAGGAAATATTTTCAGAACAATATTTTAGTGAATAGTCTTTTTTTGCTATTTTTACAGCAAAGCCAAGTATCTTTTGAAGTTGCGTTTTGGGTTCACCATGTTTACTTAAACTACTAATATGGTGATAGGAGTAAGTCTAAATTTTTAAGTCTCAAGGTAGTACTGAAATACTATGATTTAGGTGGTGAAATACTGGCCAGAGATTTCATCAAGTCATGGATTCTTGGTTTGGCGCTATCTTTTAAGAAGAGATGATGTTGAACCTGCCCCCTGGACCTCAGAAGGAATAGAACGGTCAAGAAGATTATGTCTGCGTTTACAGGTAAGATTACATTTCTCTACACTACTTGTACATTTCATAAAAAATACATCTCTGCACAATTTTATATGCCTTAACACTGGCTGTTACCCATAGCAATTGATCAGTAGACTGTAAAGGGTGAGGAATGAATGCATGCTAATATGTAGAAGGAAAAAAATAAAGAGGTAGTGTTCTAAGTGCCTAAGACCAAAAGTTGTGTTTGGGAAAAGCTGGGTTTATCAATGAAAAATAATATGCTTTCAGTTCTGTTTGGAATGACTTGAAGCATGGAAGAATGGAATAACATCATTCAGGCATAGGAAACTTTGGAAAAGGAAGTTTATTCTAGAGGGCATGGGTTTTGTCTCTGGTAGGGGATGGGGGGTAAGTGGCTTGTAAGAGTTGTCTGCTTTCTACCCTTCTCACTTTTCCTCACCCCTTTTCTCTCTTCCCCCTCAAGCTGCTTCCCTGTCCTGTCACCACCTTTAGTGCTTTGCCTTTTTTTTTCTTTTGCCCATAATCAACTATTAACCACATAAGACTTCATTGGTTTTGTGTGCATATAGTGGATGGTTTGGCCACATTCCCCCTCCACTGCCTGTACACCCTAGACTTTTCCCCTGATACTGACTTCAGAGCATGGTTCAGTTCATCCTCCATTTTCCATCACTGTGCTTTCCATAAAATTGCCAGCTTTGTCATTTCCCCTGGCTCTGCCCACACTGCATGTGTAGGGGCTGAACTATGGGCAAGTGTCTGACCACCCAGGCAGGTGAGTGTGTGTCTTCTAGTGCAAGTCTGTTCCTGTTTTTTTGTTTTCTTTTTTAAAGCATGGGGTTAATTATTAAATAATGCCTAACTACCAAAATAATTTTTAAAGTTTAATGTATAAAACCCTGCTAAAGTCAACTTTCAGAAGATTTTTTTTTTCAGGTCTACTTTTCAGCAGAGCAATGTAGATAGATTTAAAACTGAGCAAAATCATATAAGCCTATCTGCTATAATGAATTAGTACTATTACTGATGAAGCCTGAAACAAATTGAAATTTAAATATAAATGCTAACAGAAAACATGCCCTCCTCCCCTCCAAAAAAAAGGAAAAGTAGCCAGTAAAATGTAAGGTTAATAGATAGAAGTTGTTCCTTGAAGTTTACCTTTTAGCTGATAAGGAATTCAGTGTCTTTAGTTCTAAATGTTTCATACCCTAATTTTTGAAGATAGGAAACTTGACCCTTCGTGTTTTGGTTTTGTCGGAGTTTTTTGTAATTAGATTGACTCTCCAATTTAGTACAATCCAATATCTGTGGGTACCATCTATTGTGCTCTGTGGTTGACTTATTTACCTTCCTATCCAGATTGTACTTTCCTCCTCCTTCAAGCCTTTCAAGCCACGTAGTTATATCCTGGAAACTTATTTTTCCTCTCTTAGATGTGAAACTAACTAAGATCATTGTATTATAAAATGAAATATCTTACTAGTTAAAAAACGCATGGTTTTACACTGAATTGGGGATTTTTTAAAGTTTTTCATCTTTTAAATTGTGTTTCTTTAAATATGTTTTCTTTATATTGCTTTCAGTGTAGGGAAAATAAAGACTCTTTCCCCGGCCTCCCCTTTAAAAATTTCTCACCAGGACCTAGAACTCATCTGGATTCTCTGTGAAACTTAAGTCTACACTGTACCTTTTTTCTCCCTCAGTATCCAGTAGGTTACCCTTCAGATAAAGAAGGGAAGAAGACTAAAGGACAGTCAAAGAAGCAGACCAGTGAAGTCTCAAAAAGGTCAAATATAGATGGTATGTAATGGTTGCAGAATGTAAATCCTGATAACATAGTTTCTAGTAAAGAGAAATGTTAGGAGAATAAATTGAAATCCATAAGAAATTAAATGTAACGTGAAAGGTTTTTTCTTAGGAAAAGGGGGGTAACTTTTTTTTTTTTAACTGTCAGAGTCAAAATAGCAAATAGTATCTTACAGTCAGGGTATGTTAGTTGCTTTAGCAGATTATATTCATGGTAAACATTCCTGGTGGCAGTGAGTGCTTTTGTTTCAGAGTTTTACTTAGAATTCTTGTAAGTCAGTTGATGTATTTTTAAATAAATCTAGATGATTGTCCAAGTGCCTCCAAAGTGTTCAAAGCATCAGATTCATCAGAAGCTGTTGAGGCTTTCCAGCTAACCCCTCAACAACAAAACCTAATCAAGGAAGATCATCAAAACCAGAAGCTATGGGATGAAGTACTTGCATCTCTTGTGGAAGGACCAGTATGTACAGATTTTTTTTAATTAACGATCTATATTAACAAATAATGAAAATTAATTTCCTTCTAAAGTATCATTTTCACAAGTCAGTCAAAACTTATTTTTTATCCATTTCATTGTCCAGTGCCACCACTGGAAAGTATATAAAATGTTATAATGTTTTGGCCCTCCCTGGTGGCGCAGCGGGTTAAGGCACTGCACTGAGAAGCTAAAGCCACTTCCGCATGAGTTCGATTCCCGCCTGCCCCGGAGGTGACCACATGGCGAGGCAGACCTCTCCTGACCCGCCCGCTGCTCCCCTCAGCAGTGTACTTCATCGATCTGCCTGATCTGCTCCCCACTGTCTCTGGTGAATCCTCTCACTGCCCCTGAGCCTCTGGCCTGTACCCCAGTTCTGTATGTACAAATAAATAAATCTTTAAAAAAAAAAAAATGTTATAATGTTTTATTGGCCCTTTTATTGTTGCCAAGATTCTATTACTGATTTTTTTTCTTTTTAAAAACCCACCTGTGCATTACATTCTTTATTGGACTTAATTTCTTTACATATTTTGGATGCTAAATCCCTGATGGATATTATATCTTTTCCTGTTTTTTCGTTCTGATATTTTCTTTTATTGTGTAGAAACTTTAATTTGATGTAATCTTATTTGTTATTTTGATTAATTACTCCTCCCATTAACATCAAGTTTCTAAGGCTGATGTCTTGGAAAATACGGCCTGTTTTCTTCTATGTATTTTATGGTTTCAGGTTTTACAGCCAAGTCTTTGATACATTTTTAAATTTATTTTTTGTATATGAGGTAGAGTGATCTTGTTTCATTCTTTTATGTGGCAGTCCAGTTTTCCCAGCAACACATGTTGAAAAGATTTCCCTTTCTCTATTGTGTGACATGGCTTCTTTGTTATAAATTAACTGTTTATATATGTCTGGGTTTGTTTTGGGACATAAAGATTCTATTCCATTTTCCATGTGTCTATTTTTACTCTAGTATCATACTGTTTTAATTACCGTGGCTTTATAATATAGTTTGAAATTGAGTAACAAAATGCCTTCATTTGTTTTCTTGTTCTCAATATTGCTTTAGCTATAGGTCTTTTGTGTTCCCACATAAATTTTAATATTTGCTTATCTCCTTAAAAAATGTCATTGGAATTTTGTTAGGTATTGCATGGAATCTGCATATTTCTTTAAATAAGATGGCCATTTAACAATATTAATTCTCCCTATCCAAGGTCACAGAATAGCCTTCCATCTCTTTCTGTCTTCTTTGTATTTTTGTTGAGGTAACATTGGACTACAATACTGTATATAATTCAAAGATATAGATCACATCTCTTCAGATGTTACCATAACACACCCATGACCAGAGCATACATAGTTCTTCACTATACTGAGCCCCAGCCATACCTGCATTTATTATCAATAATAATTGATTTCTTAAGTAAAAAATATTAAATATGACTGACAATTTTTTCTAATCACTTAGTTTTACTAGCATACTATAGAGTATTTTTTTTTAAAGATTTATTTATTTGTACATACAGAACTGGGGTACAGGTCAGAGGCTCAGGGGCAGTGAGAGGCCTCACCAGAGACAGAGTGGGGAGCAGAACAGGCAGATCGACGAAGTACACTGCTGAGGAGAGCAGCGGGCAGGCCAGGAGAGGTCTGCCACGCCATGTGGTCATCTCCGGGGCAGGCGGGAATCGAACTCAGTGGAAGCGGCTTCAGCTTCTCAGTGCAGCGCTCCAACCCGCTGCGCCACCAGGGAGGGCCAGCATACTATAGAGTATTAACATTTTTGTTCCCCTTTGATATCATTTTAGAATTTTCTGAAAAAATTGGAACAATCTTTTATGTGTGTTTGCTGCCAAGAGCTAGTTTACCAGCCTGTAACAACAGATTGTCTCCACAATGTCTGCAAAGTGAGTAGAATACCAATCTCATTTTCCATTATCAGGAGAAAAGTTAACACTAACCTCCAAATCTGCTTTTAGGATGTGAGGAATCATATTTCCATGAAACCAGAATAGGTATGGAACCTTGCTGTTTAAGAAGCATTTACTTACATCTTGGTGATAACTTCATGTTTTAATTCTATAATTTAAGTTATTCAGATGAATATCATTGATATATATGGTATTCTATCATGTTCAGAATTGTTGGTGTTGAAATGAAAAGTATCATTGGTGTCTTCTAAGTTATAAAAGTATAAGCTGTAAGTTATAGCTTACCTATATTATGTATTAAACTGAAACCATTCCATGCACTTAATGGAATCTAAAATATATTTTATTTTGGCAACCTCCAAGTGGATTTGAGGTGGATACTGAGTTTTCATTGTGGTATAAAAGAAACATTTCAGTTTTAGTCAAACTTGGATTAGAATCTTGTTCTACTGTTTGATGATGGTCATGTACTCTAATCCAATTGATGAATTTTAGTTTTTTTTTATAAAATGGAAACAAATCTTTCTTGTAAATGTTTATATGTAAATAATTAGATGGAATATATAATGTCTTAAACAAGAGAATCCTCATTTACTTAATGAGGAAATTAAAGCACATAGAAGTTAAGTCATTTACCTAAACACTCATTGTATATGCTAGAAGTGAAACTAGGGCTGTGTGTACTATTTCATTTTAAATGTTCTCTTATTAGTAAACAATAAGTTTCTAGTTTTAATTTAAAAGCATATGCTGTGGAGTACTTTTCTACATGCTTTACCTTCAGATGAAATTGGGTGTCTTTATTTTGTTGTGCTTTAGGATTGTTTACAACGCTCCTTCAAGGCTCAAGTGTTTTCCTGCCCTGCTTGCCGGCATGATCTTGGCCAGAATTACATCATGATTCCCAATGAGATTCTGCAGACTCTACTTGACCTATTCTTCCCTGGCTACAGCAAAGGACGATGATCTCTCTGCTTCTACCATGTTGCTCTTCATGGCTTTTTGGACAATAAAGAATCTAAAATGGGTTGGGGGGGGTGGAGTATGGAAGCAAAGGTGGACCATCTCTCTCACATTCTGAAGCAGCTAATCCTCTTTCCTATGTAGCCATCATCTTGTGTGTGTAGTAAGAGGCCCATTTCTCAGCTGTCTTTTAAATATCAAAAGGTAGTTCCTGTCAAAAACAACTAGTTTTAATGAGTAAAAAGTCAAAACCTCAGCTCTAGTTGATATCCAAGTTATGATTTATTTTGCAACTACCTCAGGACAGAAAAGATTTATGGGGATTTTTTAAATCATTGAATAATTAGTTAAATGAAATTTTAGCTACACACTGCCTCTCAATTATTAGTTGTGCCTGGTTCATTTAATTTGATTTTACAAAAAAGGAAATGACTCTTGAGATCTTTGGAATGAACACAGCTTCTGTAGTGTGCATACTTTTTTTAATGTCTCTTTTTCCATGGCAATGTGTGTTTTTTAGCCCATTTTGTGAAATCCATTGTGCTTTTTTCTGGTGTTTTATGCAAGTTGACTACTAATGACTAATGAGAACAATATGAATGCATTGTTGCTACATTAGTGTAATGTGGTGTGGTTTTGCACTTAAAAGAGGTATTCAGATGCTCTAGTTGTAAATGTTCATGAAAAGCCTCTTCTGTACTAGTCAAACTGCTTTTAGTGAGTCCCACCAGTAATTTTACATCTGCAGAGCATTGAGGACTGGGCTGACTTTTGAGAGGATTGAAATTGCTTCATAATTGTGATCCTAAATTTTATATACACTATATTCCCTAAAGTATACCTTAATAAATATTTTATGACCAGAAAAATAGCTCATCTTGCTTCAGTTTTTTATATTTGTCTGGCTTATAGTATGTATTTTTAAGAATCAGTCATTCCCAGAGTAGTTCACTGTATGTTTTTATTGAAACATATTTTGTACAATTTTTACTATTGATTTTTGGTAATGAGAACTAGTATGAAATCTTAAGCAACTAAGGACAAATTTCTCCCTGTATTTGACTTTTTTTATTAATTGGGAAACATTCTCAAAATAAGACCCCAGTGATTTTTTTTTAATATATAACAATTTCAGTCTTATGTTCAATTTTAGCATAACCAGTGGTAAATTTTACTTAACAGACATGACATTATAGAACATTGTTCTAGTCTCTCAAACTATCTTTTGAGGGAATACTAGAATTATTTATCTTGATCTTAGTAATGGTATATATATATTTATATATTGTCAATATTAATCTCTAAACTTAGAATTTGTGCTTTTTACTATATGCTCTTCATACGTCAACAAGCAGCATAAAGATAAGCAAAGCAAAACAAATCATTGAAGCTGAATAACTGCCAAAACTTCAGCCATACTCTATCCACATGGTTCCTGCAGCATTAAGTTTACAACTCTTAAAATTTTATTACTTAAAAGAGAACATTTTAGCTATCTGGAAAACAGCTATTTATAATAACAGTTCTTTAGAGCTACAATTTTTACCCTTTTTTTGCATTTTTTTCAACATCAGTTTTTAAATTTGACTTTGGGTGTTTCAGTTGGGTATTTGTCCTTGTACATCAAATGATTTTATTTTCATCAGAGCTGTTAATTACTATGATTGAATTGGTTTTGTCACCTCTGAATTCAGAGCTATATATAGCCAATATTAAATATTTGCTTTGCAATAGTCACTTGTACATTTTTATGTACTATCAATTCTAAGAAGCAAGTACTATCACCCATCTTAAGGATAATCATCTAAGGCACATATAGCTTGTAAAAAATTGACCCAAGATCATATGTAAAGCAAGTGGCACAGCTATGCCCTAAGATGAAACAATTTGTATCCAAACCTAGCAATATTGACTTTGTGCTGTAGACTCTGACATTTAAATACACACCAAAGTAGTTATTGCTTTACTTGTATATACTTAAATTCAAAGTCAATTTCTAGGAAACATAGCATAGCAATTAGAACTGTTGTCACTTGGGTCTAGCTAGAGATTTGGAATCATTTTTATTTTGAAGAATCCAATTTAAATAGGGCCTTCATAGATTGAAAATAATCATTAATTTGCATCATCTTTTCCCTCCAGCATTGGCCATGTTTCTGCATGAGGAATGGGGAAGTAGCAACAGTTTTAGCTACTTTGACTGATTTAGTTTTATCACTTTTATTAGCAAAATGATTGCCACAATTATGCTGTATATTGTCATTGTTATAACTTGGTAGATCAGAAAAGAAAGCTGAAACATTTTCAGAAATGTCAAGAATGGCCCAAAGTTAAGTAATGTTGTGTTACTCAAAGACAAGTTTTCTTACATAAATAGTGTCATTGTGTCATCATACATGGGTGTTGTATTTTAAATTTGATCCAAATAAGGATCATACATTATTATTGCTAGCTCTTAAAGATCTTTTCATCTGTTTGTATCACCTGAATCATTTCTTTTACCATTTGTAATTTATGTGTTGAAATTGGTCTAGAACTTTTCTGACAATAGATTTTGTTGATTATAACTATGTGATAGATCTTAATCTGTCTTTATTATCTACAAAATAGTAGCTAGAATTCAAGCATGACCACATTCAGATTTGGTTTTGTTTTTTGTTTTTTGCTTTTTTTTCTGGCAACTTCTTCATAGGTGATACAGAAGGTGGGACATAGATAGAACCTGGTTGTCGCTTATTCAGCTTGAAAGATGAGCTTTTCACTGCATTCATTATGTTCTGTAGGTTATCAAATACTCAGCCACTTTCAGATGGTTAGGATCTTTTTCCTTATTTTGTTCAATTAGGGTAGGTAGGGTCCATAGTTTTAGAACTTATTTTTAAATAATATGGTACATTCAACAATGTAAATACTATTATGTTTAAATATATTAGGTGTAAACTTTTAAGAGGCTACCGAGCCAAAACCATCGCTCTCATAGCCCTATTGTGACAATTTGGCATGACAATGGAAAAACATCCCACTCACTTACATAACTTAAAGCTTTGTATAAATTCTACTAATACAGGCTAGAAAGAGAGCTGTTGTGACTTGCCACGGTCTTCTATTTCTTTGTGATTAGAAATCAAACCTTTCCCTGTTCTTCAGGCCACCTGAAAGATAGAGATTATGACTCTACCTGTCTTGAAGGAGTTGAGCTTGGTAGTCATCACCAGCGGTTAGAAGAGCAACCTTTGGTTTCCCCCCATCCACTGTCTGCTGACTGGCCCCCACACAGGACCTTCAAATCACTGTCAGAACTGATGTGTAGTAACCTGGATTAACAACACTACACAATAAAAAAAGATTAATCACAAATCCCTGGACACAAGAAATCAGGAGCTAGTTAGAGGGATAAAGCAGGCAGACAAAATGTCTGTAAAGGGAAAAAAGTGAGTTTTGCAACTACATCCTCAAGTATAAGCTTTCATGAAAAGAATAAAAGCAAGCTGCTGTGTGAAGTATAGTTTGGTATTTTACTCTTGGAAATAAACATGATTGTAAAAATGCAATAGACAGAATGGATACTGCCAAAATTTGAACGTATGACTGAGTAATCCAATATATGGATACCCCATAATTTGTTTATTCATCTGGATATTTGGGTTGTTTCCAGTATTTTGTATTATAAATAAAGTGACTGTGAACCTTTGTGTGTAAATCTTTGGACAATAGTTTGAAAATGTCTTATAAAATTAAATATGTGCTTAGCATACAACCCATAAATATTTCCAGAGTAGGTTGTACTGTTTTCTATCTTGCCAGTAGTGTATGAGTCTGGCTGTCCCACCTCCTCACTAACACTTTTGTCCTTTGTTTTCATAGTAACTGTTGTAGGAGGGTGTATAATGTCTGTAGGAGACAAGAAAAGGGTGAAAATTAGTGACCAGAAAAACTAGTCATTTCTGCTGTCACCAGGTAGCTCTCAAATGTGTAAGTTAGGATTACATATCCTAACCTCTAGGGTCATGTGGCCAGTTGGTCATTGTTGCAAATGCTCTGTCACTTCAAGGCTGAGCATTTCATCACCCTACTTTAGAGGAAATTTTAGATTATTTCTTCTGGGTCTTACATGGTTTTTTGAAGCTAGCCAAGTTGCTAATTGTTTCTTTACATGCAACTAGTATGAATTGGTTTATGCGTTCACATGGACAAAGCATCTTATGAGTAAGTTTGTTCCACTCATGGAAATCTTGTTTCCCGCTCTACCCTGGGCTAGTAGATGCTGATCTTGCCAATCTTACATCCTTATTTTGGAACAGGAGTTTCCTTATCCTAAACATGCCCCATTCCTGTTCTCTCTATCCATTATTATAATATAGCTTAAGTGCCTAACAGCCATCCTGTGACATAGAAGCCACAATTCCTGGGCACACATCCACTCCAGCCACCTTGAGAGGCTAGGTGATTTCAGGTCCTTTGGGTTCCCTCCTCCCTCTTCATTTCTGCCACCTGGAGGTTTCCTTCCTTGAGAACCCACCTTTTTTTTTTCCTTTTAAGTGGTAGAAAAAGGATTATTTCACCAACACATTCATATCTTTGGAACAGCTCCCACATCTGTTCAGCCTATTTAAAAAATGAGTGTTGTCATTTTTCGTATATATTCACTAACTCATTCATACCCTGTAAGTGACATTATCTAACAAAGTACTGATTTCAGTCTTTTACTCTACGTCACAGATCGTCACAGACTTTAAGTTCATGGTTGTGTGTTACTTTCCACTTTTTTTTTTGACATGTTTCATTGTGTTTATTTACTCCCATATTGATTTTTTAATTTATATGACATCCTTTCACTCTTTGAAAATCAGTTTTGGACACCATTTTAAAGAACTATGCAAACTAAGTTTCATGACTCAGATTTTAGAGACACTTCTCATTTTCATACTATAAGACTATGGACTTCATTCCTAAATCTAACTAATTTCTGGTGTATAATGAAATTCAGGACAGCACTGTACCTGCTTAACTGTGGCACCTTTCAGTCCCCCCTCCTGAAACTGCCTCATGCTCAGGAGTATCAGATTGACAGCACTTCTGAGGGCTGACTAGGTGCCAGGTGAATGACTCTTAAAATAGTGCTTACTCTCCACACTTCTCCCCTGATCCTCCAAGATGACTGACACCATATATTATACTCAGCTCCTGGCTATTTGCAAGTTATTTAACAACCCTTCAGTCTGTCTCCATCCATGGAAAATATTTTCCTTACTGGCTTTTGGAATGCATCTGAAGCCACTTCTTTTAACCAATAACATCTAGTTCTTCTAGTTAGGGGAACTGTAATATTCCTATAGTTCATGATGGATAAAATATCTTGAACATAAGCCAGTTATCTTTTCCATTTTTTATGCCATACTTTTTTTTTTTTTTTTTAAAGAATCTGCATCTAATTCTATGTTGGCTGCTCCTATTGCAGCAAGTACCAGCTTTGGATCAAGTTCTCAGTGGCACTTGGGGAAAGTCTACATTTTTTTTTAGGCTGACTGACATCTTTCTTGGTGCCATTGGATTCCACCCTATTTTCTCAGAGTTTATTATTTTGACTGTTACTGAAAGCATTTAAATCTGTCTCCATGTTTTTCTTTTTTTTTTCCAAGTCATCTTCAGTTCTTTTGTAGAAATTAAAATGTCACACACAACTATACAAATACTTTAGTGAGTCTAAGTACAATGCAATTAGCAGATCAAAAGCATGTTAAAATTTTACTTGTGTCATTTCTGAAAACCCTGGAGTTCTTAAACACCCAGAGAGCTGAGTTCCTTTCATGCAGGTTCATTAAAAATATAATCTGGGGCCCTCCCTGGTGGTGCAGCGGGTTAAAGCACAGCACTGAGAATCTAAAGCCGCTTCCACATGAGTTCGATTCCCGCCAGACCCGGAGGTGACCGCATGGTGTGGCAGACCTCTCCTGACCCACCCGCTGCTCCCCTCAGCAGTGTACTTCATCGATCTGCCTGTTCTGCTCCCCACTCTGTCTCTGGTGAAGCCTCTCACCGCCCCTGAGCCTCTGGCCTGTACCCCAGTCCTGTATGCACAAATAAATAAATCTTTAAAATATATATATATATATATATATATATATATAATCTGTAGTTAACATCTTCCCCTCTCAACCCATTTTGTTGAATTCAAGAGATATAGGTAATTCCTAATTTGGCTTTCAGAAGTATTTTAAGAGCATGACAGCCATGATCTTCAGCTTAATATAAGTTGAAAAGTGAAATAATTTGTTTTGTGCATTCTTGTACAAATATTTCCTATAGGAATAATGATAGGAAAGGGATAGCTCCCAGAGGAGTTCATAAAAGTCTATTAAGGCATCATTTAGCTGCACTGCTTTACAGGTTTCCACAAACTCTTGCCACTTCTAGGCCTTACAGACTCTGCTGTACCCCAGTGACTACATTTTCCAAACAAACTTTAGAACACTGAAAATGTCCTTGACATTTGAACAAAGAAAGCTGAGAAGCAATACCTAGGAATCATTAGAAATAGTCTCTGCTCCTGCCTCCCGTCTACTGAATCAGAAACTGTGGATAGGACCCAGCATCATTTTTAACAAGCCCACCCAATGATCTAGATTCATAAAGACTTGAAACCATTGCTCATGGGCCCTGATTGTGGCTGAAATCTGAGCCAAAACAATCTGTTCAGAGCTCTATGAGCCACTACAAGCACTAACATCTCAACTTCCAATCAACTTGTCTCAAATGGCTTCTTGTGTCTAGAAGTGGCACCTACATTCTGTATTTGGATGAATGGTCCATCCAGTTTTGTCACTGATAGACATGGTCCTTATATGTATGTAGGTTTCATGAGACTTCTACACTATGGCCATTCCCTTCGGTCGATAGCAGCTGCAAGGTGACAAGTGTAGCCTGTGGCTTGACCCAGAACTGTGAAGAGGTAAAGGAGATAGGAAGCTTTCAGACCCCTCTTTAAAACTGTTTTAACAGGCACCACTGTGAACTGAATGGAATAGTTAATGTCACCAAATTGAATAATTAAAATGGTTAAAATAACAAATTTCATGTATATTGTACCACATAAAATGGCAGCAGTGTGAATTAATCCTACAGAAAGCCTCTTCTTTAAAGTTTTAACAGAGCTGCTCACCGTAGGTCTTGGGAATACAGGTTTCCATGACTATCACCCTATTGGAGATCAAGGAACATTTCTTTATCCTCTCAATTCTTAATTTCTGTTTGTTGAACACATTCTACATGCAAGGCCTTGGCTCAGTACTGGGAATCCAATGATGAATGAGATGGTTTATTCTCAGGGAAGTTCATCTTGTCAAGAAGACAAAAACCAACTAAACAGAGTAAGTATTAATTGTGAAACACCAAGTCAGTGTCAAGAGAAAATAGCAAAGAAAGCACATTTCCTCAAAGCATGTACCTACCTTCATACCTTAGTCTTGAAAAGATGCTTAAATATGAACAGAAGTCGACAAAGCAAAGGCAGCTGGGAGGTGCTGCTCCTGGTGGAGGACACCAGACAGGCAAAAGAACCCAAAGGTGGAAACAGCAAGCACAAGCACAAGCACTTGGTGAGCACATAAGCCATTCAGTAGTGAAGGACAGATAGCTCATTCTGATTCACTTCATCACCTGTATATATTCTGGGGGCAAGCCATGGGTGACTTGCTGTGGAACAACTCTGGCACTTAACTATTAATACGTTACAGCCTCAAAGAGAAAGTGGAAAATGAACTTCTGTTCACCTTGGTGATTTATGCTTCCTCAGAAGGAGCTATACCATGCCCTAGAGAGCTAGTTTGTTGACTGCTTTCCAGCTTAGGGAGCATAGGTCTGTAGATTTGCAGTGATTGGCAGGCACTAGGGCTGTTCATCATGGATTCGTGTTCTGACTCTTCCTCTCAGTAGCCCTGTGACCTTGGGAATCTTTGAACCTTCCCCTTCATGTGTAAAAGTGGAATGTTGTGGAGCTCAATTGAGATCATGTTTTCTAAATAGTACCTGGCATCTGAGAAGTACTCAATAGATATTAATCATTTACTGCAGTTCAGTTGAAATAAACTGTCTGACAAACTTTCCAGCATGAGAATAAGTGGACAATTTGCAGGGCACTCAGTACAGCACACAGATCTTTTGTCCAGATCAGCATCAAAATAACTTGAGTAATAATTGTTTTAAGCTGCCTTCAAGTAACCAACTAGTTAGGGCTCAAGCAAGTGCTCAGTTAACTATCAGGAAGAAAATCGAATCATATTCTGCTTCTAGGAGAAAGCTATTGTGGCAGACACATTAGCTGCCTATCCAAAACTCATTCTCCCTTTTCTATACTTAAACTTCCTATTTTGTGTGGAACAATAACCTGCCAAGGTATAAGCCTCAACATTCTCCCTTGCAGCTGGAAGGGCCATTAGAACCAATTTTGGTCACTTTAAGTAGAAGTTACTGGATGAGACCTTTGGGACAGCATTTCAAAGCAAACCAAAATGGATGGAACCTGCCTTTCATCTTTGTACCTCTCTAGCTGTTTTTTCAGTCTAGAATGGATTTAGGATGCCTGGATACCCAGCAGCCATTATAAGACCAGGAAGATGAAGACATCCTAAAGGAAGACAAAACAGGAACACTGAGATATTAGCCCTTGGCTCATTGCCTCTGGACATAATGCTAAATGAGAAAAAAATAATTATTTGATTAAAGTTCTGTAGTAGGGTTTCAGTTATATGCAAACTAAAATACTCACAAAAATGGTAAAAGTGGCATTTACTCCTAACCAAGTCATATAAACTGTTCATTTAACCTGTCAAAGATAAAACTGATAAGTAACCGTGGTTACTGGGTTAGGCGTCCTCATGACCCTTCACTTTCCTCTGAGCCTAACGGACTCAGAATTAAAATTAAAAAATGGACCAAGATTTCTTCAAATTGAAATGTTTTTATTAGGGTACTAATAATTGCAGATTTTTTAAAAAACAAAGAAAAAGATAAAAACCTCAGGAATACTCTAACAGAGTAAGCACATTAGTCACAGGAAAGATTTCTTTACTGTATATAAAATGTAAACATTTGCCCTGGGATTTCCCACAGATGGCACAGTCCACAAGGACTTATTTGGAACAAAAATATGTCTGTTGAGTCTGCAACTTGCAAATTTTCTATGTTGACAAGTTAAAAGTTCCTAACACACCCAAAATTCTCTATGCAAAAAATTAAATGGCTCTCAATCAAGGCAACTTAAACATGCTTTCTCTGCTACATGAAGAAGCAAAGAAAAGGAAGCAAATCAGGCTTCCATGTGAACTTCCCTCCCTATTATAACTGTACTTAACATAAATATACAAAGTACATAAAACCCCTACTTGACTCTGGGGTGAGAAATGAAATAGGTCTTACTTATCAAATACTCTGCAGAAAAGCATCAAATCAGTCACTTGAAGGCAGACTAAGAAGAGGCCCTCTTCTGTTCAGAAAATGGAGACTCATAAACTTCCATCGGTGGACAGGTACAAACCAGGTGCTGGTCTCCATAGATGTCATCAATCCGGGCTATGGTTGGCCAGAATTTGTTCTCCGGTTTCACAAAGGGCTAGAGGGTACAAAAGATGTAAATACCATGGGATATTCTGAGAGCCTTCTCCTGTGGAGGAGAAGGTTTCAGTGTATCCCCAGGGACTACAATATACCACTAGGCCAAAGAGTACTCAGAAAGTGTAAGTTAAGAGCCAACTCTCCATTATTGTCCCTCAAAGCCAAAGTTTGACCCTGTCCCCACCCTACCAGACAAACTGCAAAGCACCTCCTCCTTCATTTAAGAATTAGAGAAAGGAAAAAAACATTTGGTGCATTGAGGCCATCTCCCAGTGAGTGGTGGTAGGAAACATTAGTCCACTTGACGGAGCCTTCTATTTAGTTGTTTTGCACAGGGACCTGGCACATTCCCAAGCCTGTGGTTGACACTCCCAACTGCCTTTGGAGCTCTGAACACCAGTTCCTGTGCTCTGTGCCCCACTATTCTCAGTAGTTGCTATAATGAGGGGACTGGAAGAGTGTAGCCCCTTGAGGTAGGTGATGGCTCCTCATACATACAAACCCTTTAGCAACTGACACGTTCAGCCTCAGAGAACTTACAAGTGGGAACGCCGCCACCTCTCTGGAATATGGCCGATCCCAGTGGGAGGATGTGACACAAGTCAGGGAGTGTGGTGACATCTGAGACAGAGACATGTATGGGAGAGGGGTCAGAGCAGAATATCACCTCTTCTCTGGCACTTCACATGACCAGTGAGTTTCTGAAAAAGCCAGCTGTTTTGTTTCAAATTGAGGGGAAGGAAATCTTGGTAGGAAATTTTTTATTGGGAGATATTTATTTGAAATATCAGAAAATTAATGGTACTATAATAGGCATACCCACCATCTAACATTAGATCAACATTTTGTTACATTTGCTTAACCATTTGATAAAAGAATATATACTCCAGAAGATGCCTATATATTCCCCTTCCGTCTCATTGCTTGTTTATTTCATGTTCACCATACTCATCAAATGTTTGCATTATAATTACACATGCTATTACTACTATATTAATAAATAACATATAGTATAACTTGGCACATTTTAACATGTAGTATCATCCTAATGCTTTTGTAATTCAATATTATATTCTTTAGGTATTTATTGTCATCTTAGAAAACGGCCTTCATTCTGAAAGAATCAGCAATATCCAAAGAAAAGATTAGTAATAATGACAATAAAAATGATCATGTAGTTTTCCTCTGTAATTCTGTCAAACTCATATCTAGCAAGGTGCCTATCTTCTCCTGTTCCTTCACTCCACTTTCAGCAGGACTTGCCTGAGTTTCCCCAAGCCCCAAACAAGCTAAAGTCCTCCCACCCCTGCTTCCACTTATGGCAGTTGGCTGGTATAGAGCATATTGTTCCTACATCCATGAAACAATTACCTAAACAAAAATATATTAAAAAATATTTATGTTGCACATGAGTAATCCCTGCTATGTTCAGGAACTTCCAGGTCACAAATGCTTCTCAGATAAATGAGCTTATTCTAGGTAAGAATTTGACCTGATAAATGTTCAGGAACCATGACTAAGTGTCTAGATACTGTCTTCTATCCTATAACATGTTCTGGATGAAGTATGAGTACTCACTTACCTTCAGTGGATTGACCCTGGAGTCAATGCGGCCCTCCTCAATATCAGCGATCTCCTGCCGAATGCTGATCATAGCATCACAGAATCTGTCCAGCTCTGCTTTGTCTTCTGATTCTGTGGGTTCAACCATGAGAGTCCCTGCCACTGGCCAGGACATAGTAGGGGCATGAAATCCTGACAGGAAATGGGGAAACGTATCACTAACTTTGACAGCTGCACTTTGGAAGAAGAGTCACTCTCCATCCTGTAAGTTATTCTAAGGAAATTACTGGATGAGTCTAAACATATGGGACTCATTTCCGCACCATTTGTGAGAGAAAAATTTAAGAAATTACTCAATATCCAGTAAGAGAGCATGAGTTAAGCAAACTTTATAGAGCATATATACAATTAAGCAGGCAATCTTTAAAGCTTGTAAATTTCTTGTTAATTGGATAAACATTCGAAAATATTTAGGTGAAAACAGCAAGTTACATAATTATACCTTTTTTGTTAAAATATGGATAAATCGGGCTTTTCCCTGGTGGCGCAACGGGTTAAAGCATTGCATTATGAAGCTCCCCAAAGCCACTGCTGCACAAGTTCAATTCCCCACCAGGAAGCTGACCCACATGGCACGGCAGACCTCTTCTTACCTGCCCATTGCTCCCCTTAACAGTGTATTTCAGTACATTTGCTTGTTCTGCTCCCCACTCTGTATCTGGTGATCCTCTCACCCACCACATCTGTGGCCTGTACCCCAGTTCTGTACTCTTAAATAAATAAATCACTAAAAAAATGCATAAATCAAAGAAAAGGAGACAATGGATTTTAGTGATATACTGTATGTAGCACATATATATGTTGGTTCATAATAATGAACACCTGAAAGTTATGTAATGTTATAATGTAAATACATAAGTGTAACATATAAAATATATAATAATGTTATATATAAGGTAATGCATAAAATGAATATAAATACAAAACATATACTTATATGATAATATAATATGTAAATTTTTCATGTTTAATTAAAAAATTTAAGTATGTGTATTTTTTATGAGAGACAACATCTGGAAGATTGTTTTTTAAAGATCTATTTATTTACCCATACAGAAATGGGGTACAAAGCAGAGGTGAAGGGTGGTGAGAGGATTCACCAGAGGCAGAGTGGGGAGCAGAACAGGTAGATCGACGAAGTACACTGCTGAGGGGAGCAGCGGGCGGGTCAGGGGAGGTCTGCTAGACCATATGGATCACCTCTGGGGCCCCCGGGATTGAGCTTGCACTAAAGCAGCTGCAGCAAGCTTACAGTGCTGTGTCCTAACCCATTGTGCCTCTAGGGGTAATATTAAAATTTGAATAGAGGCTATTACCAGCAAGTGAGACTGGAATTTTTTATTTCATTTTGATTACTTTAGAATCTCTCTATAATACTTTACTTGCAATGAGCATTCAAGAGAAGAATAAGTCACAAATAAATGACTCCTATTAAGATACACTAGTAATACTGTTAAATAATTAAGGTTTCCAATTTTCTTATTGAAAGAACTTATTCAAAGCATTAAAATTCAAATAGGCCTCCACAGCCAATGAAAGGTACAGTTCTTCCCAGCTTTGCCTTTCTGAGAATTGAAGGGTCTTTGATCTGATTATAATATCAATAATAAAATGTATTTTAGTAAAGTCTATGTTTAATTAACATCCACCAACACAAAGATAAAGGGACGGGTCTTTCCAAATCCTTCCAGGATTTCATAATTTCAGTGAAAACAACAGCTATTTCTTCATCTCTAGAAGCCACTTAAACAGCAATTCCATGAAGTCAGTTGTTATAAAACTCAAATGTAATTCATTTCTAATACTTCCACAGTTTACTCACAATACTTCCCTTACCCTTACACCAGCTTACCTCGTCACGTTCTTCTCCATTTGCCAGGAGTGGGATAGGAGACTGAATTTACCAGAAACATGGACTAAGGGTAGAAATCATTCTCTTTGGAATTTTTATTTTAACTTAAACAACTTATTTGCTTGGACATTTTTGGAGGATTCAAGATACATGATTTAATACAGTTATATAAAGAAAAGTTTTCTTTCCTCTATTACTTTGAAGGCTACCTAGCTCCCCATTCAACCTACGGATTATTTTTACTACGGTGCCTGTACATTCAGTTTGTACCTCAAGGTGGTTCACAGCCAGCATGGGCAGCCACAGGTTCACTCCCACCAGGCTACTCACCATAATCCTGAAGCCTCTTGGCCACATCCACAGCCTCAATATTTGCAGACTTTTTGAAGGGTCTTGTGTCCAAAATAAATTCATGGGCCACATAACCTATTTGGGAAAATTATTTCAGCCCAAGATTAGCCTCAGCCTTTTGTTTTACCCATGAAAATTAGTGAGTAAATCAGCTTTTAAATGCCTACCAATGAAGGTTGAGAAACCATGAGTACTTGGTAAGTGTATAGTTGGCAGTAAAGACTTCATCTGTTCTTACTTAAAATGAAACTTTTAACATGTCTAGTCAATTGTTCAATCCGTAGTGTAGTGCACAACTCACCCATGATTCAGGAGGCTGGTGGAAGGTGGAATACTGTGCCAAAACAGTATTCCACAGAGTTTCTGCGAATGAGATTACTTCTACTCCTAAGACCAAAATTCTACTTGCAACAGTTAAACCTGTCACCATAGGCATGATCTTTCCACAGAAAATATTTCTAAGGCTAAATATATATAGATATCCTTTCAGACCCACAACAAATAACTATTCATTCTGTGTACACATAAACATATACTGAACATATACCCAGAAGAGAGTTTTATGTGATTCTTCAAAAGGGTTTGGAGGTTTTGGTATCAGACAGAGTGAGAATTAGAAATAGGAGCTGTAAAACTATGTCACAAGTGGTAAAGGGTTGACAAGGCCAGAGTCTCTGTAAGGGGTCAGTACACTTTGTTCTGTTTTGCAAACTGATTCTCTCTAGGCTCAGGCTACCCTCTATAGCACAAGCTGTTGTCCATCCATCCATTAAAAACACCAACAAATAAGCTAGCACTTTGATGAATAGAATTTGGCAACCCAACTTCTACGGCCCATATAAATGATGAGATTCCTTCCTAGGAAGTTATCCACTGAGACAGTAACAGCCCCTTAACCCACTTTCCTGACTGTTAGCAAACAATCTACTTAGAAATACACAGAACAGGGCTTTCCCTGGTGGCGCAGCGGGTTAAAGCACAGCACTGAGAAGCTAAAGCCACTTCAGCATGAATTCGATCCCCACCCTGGAGGTGATCCACAGCAGACCTCTCCTGGACCGCTGATGCTCCCCTAAGCAGTGTACTCATAAATCTACCTGTTCTGGTCCCCACTCTGTCTCTGATGAATCCTCTCACTGCCCCTGCACCCCTGGCGTGCACCCCAGCTCTGTATGCATAAATAAATAAATCTTTTTTTTAAAAAATAGAAATACACAGAACAAACGCAACTCTCCTCAAGCCTGTGAAGAACAGCTTGTCATTGACAGCCCTTAGGGATACTCTGTTCTGCTTCTTAAAAAAAAAAAAAAAAAAAAGATTTATTTATTTCATTTATTTTTGCATACAAGAACTGGGGTTTAGACCAGGGTTTGAGAGGATTCACCAGAGACATAGTGGGGAACAGATCAGAAGGATCTTCTGAAATACACTGCTGAGAGGAGCAGTAGACAAGACAGGAAAGGTCTGCTGCTCCCTGGCAGGGTAATAAATGAGGCTGCGGTGGCTGGTGTTAGCTTGATAGTCTTGAGATTTGAACCCCTGCACCAACAGAGAGGCTGCTGCTCTGCTTCTTACGTAATGAATTCATATGAAAGGATTTATTTTGTCTGAAAATTAAAGATGAGAGCCTGAAACGTTAAGTATGTTGTCACCTCATTTTAAAAACATGCTTTATAACAATAACATCAGAAAAAGATTATAAGGAGTGTGACTTCAGAAATAGAAAGTTATGTTAAGTAGGTAAACTCAGGGGGAAAAAAATACCTAAACAGAATGACCATTTGGAACCGTTAGGGGAACTAATCACGAGGTTATGGCAGTCATTAGCAATTAAGTCCAGGAATCCTAAATGCTCTAGTATGCTACCCCACTTTGGGAGGCCAGCCTTAACCTTTGACCTTTCTTCTCAGAGTCTCTGGCAGCACCACCCCCACACCAGCACTGTGATAACACAAAGAAGGTTAATGAAGCTCACTGCTCTGAAAACACTCAGCAGATGGGAGTGGAGAGATGGGGGGCACTCTATGGTGGAGAAGAGGCCCCACAACAGTCTGCATACAAAAGTTCAGTAAGAGTTGGAGGATGAGCCAAACTCAGAGCTAACATGGCTTCATCTGCAGCGGCACCCAACATGTCTTAGCAGTTTGAAAAGAGCTCCATTTTCAATATGAAGTTCAGATGTAATTTTCTAAATTCATATTCTAATGTGTTCAAAAGAAAACTATATGAAATGGAGTGTAGAATTTTAGCATTTCTCTCTCTGTGTGTTTCTCTCCCCCAGCCCTCTTTCTCCTCTCACTCTTTTACTCTCTTTCAATACTTGAGCCCTAAAAGGAGTTATAACTTGGTGGCTGTTGGAGGCCAGATGCCAAAATGTTCATCTTTGTTTACAATTTTTTTTTAACAGTTATTCATTTATTTTTTTAATTTTTTAATAATGTAACAGTTTATTTTTACATCATTCTGTGCCTTTCTCCATCTCAGTTGTAATCCTTGTGGGCTTCCCACCACCTGTTTACAATTTTTAAGAAAAGGTACACAAACTTTCTATGGCATACAGTGAGTCAGGGTAGTGTGACCAGAAAGGGTATGAAATGATCAATGCCAGTTCTGCTTTTCACTGATTAGTTGATTCCAAGAGGCCTAAGCATGTCTATAGCTGACAGTCTGAAAAGATACCAAGACAAAGGAGCTAGGAGAGGAAGAAAGTGGAATAATAAAAAACAAAGTATAACTGCCTTGGCTTTAAACTTAGAGCGTGCTCCTTCCCAATCCCTCACATGTTGCTTATCTTCTGGGCCTGAAGATGACCTGGGAAAGTGCAACAGAAAAATAGGACTTCTTAAAACCCTCCTGGAGGATAGGCACCTGAGCTTATTTGTCCCACACCCTTGAAATAACTACAAATTAAAAAAAAGGTGGAATTTGCTATCTAATTTCTCTGCAAAGCTTGGATGGACAAACTGTTCAGCCACAATCCTGGAACCATGACCAACAGAGACAAAATTCCTGTTTCTCTGGGAATGAGGCTGCAGACCTGGTCTCAGGAGAGTCACCTCAGTGAAGGCTTGGATGTGAGGTCCTAACCCGTGGCACATGTCTGTCCATGGGAAACTTCTTTAGGAACAGGAATTTCCAGGCCGAGTTGGGCTTGTCCAAGTCAAAAAGGAGTAGGCATTTATGAAATTAAACACAAGTCAAACTTCACTGATGGGAACTTCCTTTATATAGAGCAGTGGGCATAATTAACTTTCCAGAAGAGTAGACACCTGTGACTTCTTAAATTCCTGCCTTTAAAATGTGTCCTCCTACCTGAGGTACCTTTTTCCTTCTGCATCCCAGCAAAACGAACAATAAGGCTGTTCCCCTACACCAGTTGCCCATCTTTCTCACTTCAAAAAACCATGAGCCTCAAGTGATTTCCTGGCATTTTCAAATCTTTCCCAAAAAATGGTTCATAAAGGCAAGCCTGGAGTTCATTAAAATTATTGCCTCACAGTCATGCTTAATTCCAAAGTCTTAGAGTAAGTAAATATGATTAACAGTCTTCTAATATTGCCATTAGACATTTTGAAATACAGAGTATTTATAAGAGCATTTTATTTTGAGGCCCTCAGGAGAGATGGTGATGATTCTTTTTTAGGCTCCAAAAATCAGAGACTTAAACTGTATAATGAATGTATTTACCAGACCAAACATGAGACAATGTATGGTTTCATGAAAATTAGGATTGGTTAATAAAATCTGAAATCACCAATCTAGTTCTGCTTGGGATGAGAAATACTATTCGTTATTTAATTCTGGAGTAAAATGTCAAAACCAATGGAAATCTCATTCATCTTTGTGTTACAAATTCTCAAGGACTGGGACAGTTTCTGCCTAAAGCAGTCACAATGTTAACACATAGTAGGCGCCCACAAATGCATGTGCCACTCACTGTTCTCTCTCCCAGCCCCACATAGACCAGGTCATATCCATTCTTGCTTTAACTTTGTATCACATATCTCTGTGAACATACTAAAAATAATAAAAATCACTGTAGTGTGCATTTTCAGTGGGTAATTTGAATGGTATGTGAATTCCATGTGAATAGCCAGTTAGATAAAGTTAATCATAAAGAAAAAATCTTGTAAATTAAAGCAGAAGATGATTTTCCAACCAGCAAATTGGCAAAGGTATTTTGTTAGTGGCTTGTGGGTTTTTTCACCCCAGCCTCATACTCAGGGATCGCCAAGCTCTGTCATATTCATATGCTGTTATTCATATGCTGTTAGTGTGAAAGAAATTTGTATGAAGTTTCTGGGAGAAAACTAGGTCATATGTATCAAGAGCTTAACTTTATTTATACACTGGGAGATCATTTCTGTTTAACAACGCTAACCTATGGAAATAATCAAGAGATTTATTTTTTTATGCAACTACAGAATACTACAGCAGTTTTGTTATAAATGCAAACAAATGAAGGGGGAAAACAGTAGAATTGCTTAAAACATGGAACATCTACACAACAAATTGGATAGTCACCTGTAAAGAACACTAAATGATGTGGGAAAAATAAATGCTCACAAAATATTTAAGTTAAAAAATAAGATAGAAACTGTTGCAATATGATCTCAATTGTCTAAAAGTAAGAGGAGAGGAATACAGTACAATATTTATAGTGATTATGTCTGGTTGCTAGAGTCATGGGACATTTAAAATTGCTTTCGCATAATTTTTTCCCAAAAATTTCCATGTTGAGTATGTATACATGTAATCAGACAGAACAAATACTTAGGCTAATTCCTATGGACAACATATAAGCAGGATATATTTCATAGCATAGAAGCGATATTTGAATTAATTAGTAGTGCTTGTAGCTTCTTTAATACCCACTTTAGAAGCATTTTATTGTGTTACTTTGAGACATATTGTCCTCAACTTCCTTTCCTATTCCTTAAGAAGCATACCTAGCCAGTTTCTGGCTATCCCTTTCTTTTCTGTTCCCAAATTCTAGTATCATCCCTTTGGAAATTTATTTATGAGTGAAACCAATCTTTAAATTAAAGATCACAGCTGTAGACGTACATGCTGCCTCGGTCAGAGAAACCAAAAAGCAAATTGAGTCCTACACTGTGACGCTTGCAGTCCACGCATGCTGGATGATGCTGTCTTTCTGCTCCCAGCTCCAAATACCCATCTGTCCCTGCTTTCAGGTTTCGTGCCCACCTCCCATCATCTCATTTTCTCCCCTATCTATTATTCCCTTGATTATACCTTTATTCTACATACCCCCCTTTCACCATTCCCCTGGCTGTTTAAAATCATGTTGTTTTCTTATTTAACAACAAACCAAAACAAAACTACGACCTAAGAAGCAACTTTTGCTCCCCTAACTACCAAAATTTCTCAAACAATGATGCTTCTTTTCCTCCCCAAACTCAGGCCCTTTCTCAACCCATTTTCATCTGGAATCTGCCTCAGCATTTACCTGTGCTTTCAAAGACTTCATAATTGTTAAAAGCAAAGATTCTTTCTAAGGGTCATATCATAAAATCAGCCATTTGCTCTTCAGTGTCTCTCCTTGTTATATAACGCCACACAGGTCTAGTTGGCCAGGTGTGTTGTGCCTGGCATGATGCCAGGTATGGGAGCTTGAGAACTAAAGTAGATACAGTCTCTGCTCTGACAAGTTCAAAGTCTGATGGACAGAGGAAAACAATAATCCACATGGGAATCATTAAGTGTGGAGGAAGTAGAAATGAGGGAACAGTTCTCTTCACTGGGAAAAAGAGGTTTCAGGGAGCAGGTGGGGTCAAAGCAGAAGCAGTGGGAAGGGGAGTTTTAGGGAGAGACACTGTGACGAATGTTTCCAGGGCTTTAAAGCTACATTGCACACAGAATCCCATCTCCCATCCCATCTCTCCCTTCTTCTACAACCCACTCCACAATCATTCAAGGCCCTCACAGTCCCAAGCTACCTCTAAAGCCTCATGTGCTCCCTCTTCTCACCTCTTCAACCCAACACACTCTAGCCACCCACATAACTCCATAAACTATTTACTGTGGGGTTCTGCTATTATTCTTTCTAGACTCATCTCCTGTGCTATTTCCTAACTATTCCATCCTTCCTTGCCCACTCTAAATTATTCATGGAACATTCCCATAGCATTTTGTGAGGTAGCTAGTTGTATGTGTTGTCTCAGTGGTGTGGGCTCCTGTTGACCTGGGCTGTGTAAATTAAGTGCCTAAAATACATGACACCCTGAAACTAAATTTAAGCATTTCCATTGTTCTATGTTTTTATTGCTAAATGCTGAAAAACAAAAGCTGGCTGCCCTCTTCAGAAAACCACAATTACCAGATCAAACTCTCTTGGGTCAAGAAAAAACAATTTGATGGAGACTAGGATTGCTACTTGCCTCTTGCACCCCTGAAAAGGACTCGGTAGTGCTTTTCTAATCGCTTGGCCATGTAGTTTGCATTTAATATGGCGACTTCTGTGGCCTGCTTAAGGCCTTTGCCTCCCATCATCTGCAACAAAGGGAAAAAGAGTCATCAACCATGAAACAGGTAAACCCAGTACCCCATAACCAAAGATATACCCGATAAATCCCACCTCCAAAGAAAATTCATACTTTGGATTACAGACGGTAAAAAATCCTAATAAGGATATCTATCAATGCTCTGAAATGATTTTTGGTTTTCTCCTCTGAACACTACTCTTACTTATTTTTTTTAAGATTTATTTTGTTTATTTATATAAGCTGGGGTATAGGCCAGAAGTGCGGGGGTGAGTGAATGGGTGACATACCTCATTAGAGATAGAGTGGGGAACAGAACAGGTAGATTGACTGAAACGCACTGCTCAGGGGACAAGAGAGATCTGCTGTGCTATGTGGGTCACTTCCTGTTTGGGGATCAAGCTTGTGCTACAGTGGCTGCAGATAGCTTCATAATATTGAGCTTTAACTCCTTGTGCCACCAGGGAGGGCCCCAGTCTTACCTTTTTTTTTTTTTTTTTTTGCAGAAGACGGCATACGAGATGTCGAGCAGTGACTGGAGTTCAGACGTGTGCTCTTCCGATCTATGCAAGAGAGACTCTAGTTGACACTTAGCCAACTCCATGGATTACCACTGATTTTTATTTTTTTTTTTTTTTTTTTATGTATTAACACACCTAGACCAAGGCAAAACTTACTGCCAACTATCTAAGGAGGAAAAAGGACCATTCTTAGGGTACATGCATTATGGAGAGTTTGTGTTCATTCATCTGTTCATTCAATCCCCCACTGGATCAATTTTGTAAGTTTCATCATTATCAAGACTATATATGTTTAACAACTGCCAAGTTCAATCATCCATTTATAGGGGTAAATAAATCCCTGTGATTATATAGGTGAGTGGCATCACCAAGCAAGAACATAAAATCAAGATTGTACCAATGATATTGCCACTTGCTTCCCACAAATACTTAATATACCATGGAGGCTTGATATATATTATGTACAGAACTGGTATAAAGAATAAGAAAATATCAGTAAGAAGAAGACACATTTAGCCAGGCTCGTCGAAGGTTTGTCAGATTAAGAGTTAGAATTTAGGCCTCTGCTGATGCTGTGAAGCTAATGAGACCTTGTGGTAAAGCCGGAAGAGCTCTGGTGCCCTCAGAGAGAATCTAGCAGTCCTTTTGGGGCCTTGGACTTGTCCAAGATGAAATGCGACTTGGATCCTACTTTGGCCTCCCTGGTGGCGTAGGGGTGAAGTCTCAGTACTATCACCTTTAAGACCTGAGCTCCTGGGATCCCTGGCTGTGGAGCTGACCCACATGGCAAAGCAGAGCTCTCCTGTCTCACCCACTGCTCCCTCAGCAGTGGATTTCAGTCAATCCGCCTGCTCTGCTCCTCACTCTGTCTCAGGTGAATCCTCTCCCAGTACCTCTGGCCTACACTCCTGGTCTTCTAAGCAAAAAAATAAATAAAATAAAAAATTTAAATCCTTCCTTATTATTGTTTAAGTTGAACTAATATGGATTTACATTGTTAGGTATAACACCTGTTAGGTGTCATTTGTACACTCACTACCACTTATTTCATTTTTAAATGGAGGGGCTGTGTCTGCATTTCTGGCAAACACCAAAACTGCTTTGGATGCATTTATTTTCTATGGACAGGAAATCATCTCCAACCCAAATAAGTCCCATAACCTAAGTTTATGAGATCTAGAAGACCCAAGGAAGCGAGAAATTAAATTTGGTTTGCAAAGAAACAGACCTTACTTATTATGATTATTTTTGTTGTTGTTATTTGGGAAATAATTTGAGAATCATTTTAAAAAGCTGGTTTTTGTGTCCAAGGTACAGAATTACTGTTTCAGTTTCCCAGAAAAAGACTATAAATGCCACACCATTGGAGAATAACACCCAGCTCCACAGAGTCCTCCAGCACGATCTGTAAAGCTGAGTTTTGAGGTTGTTTCACCAGAAGCCACCTCCTATAATGAGGAAAGCTGGCTTGTGAAGGCTGCTCTAATTACTGAGAGGAAGAAGTATTCCTATCCAGAGTACAGTCTTGTCAGCCCAGGAGGTGGGCAGGCCAGTTTGAACAGGAGTTGTATAAAATAAACTCTGGCCCCAGTGTTGTCTTGAAGAAAGACAAAGCAAGGAGGCCTGTTCTCTTACAAAGCCTAATTATATCTGAGAAACACAAGTCCAGATGATCTACAGAGCCAAGAACTTAATTTCCCCTACTTTTCACTTAATTCCCAGGTTCCCAAGAAACATAAAGGGAAGTGAAAGGTGCTCCTAAAACAACCCAGAATCTCAACCAAGTGCAATAACTACTATGTGCACCATTTTTCATCTGCAAGAGGCCTTATAACTCTTGCAGGAAACCAAATGATGTGGCTAAAAAATCCACATGACTCATGGAACTTTGTCTGGAAAAACATATCTGGTATGTCAATTTCTCTGATGTTAAGCTCACAGAGACGAAAAAAGAAACAGCGGTGACACAGGCATTACGTGAATTTTAGCTGATCCCTATCAGAAGATTTCTGCCAACCAAATCATTAGCTGTCTTAACTGAGTCACATCTCAGATCATGGATGTCTTTACCTTGAAGTCAAGAAAGAAATCTGCAGTCTCAGTTCCTCACTGACACATTAGATCCTTTCCCGCACCTGCCATGTACCACCATCTCCCTGCACCCCCCAACCCAACAACCCCTACATACATATATACTTACCACACTTCTACAGGCCTCACCTTAATATAAGCCCATGAAATGGGCAAGATGCAACTGGAGCCCCATGGAGCAGCACTGACAGTCCCTACAGGCCAAACATCCTCACTTGGCTTTACTGAAATGACGGGATGATCAGGCAGAAAAGGTACAAGATGCTTCTTCCTGTATTTTTTTTTTAACAGTGCAAGTTCAGAAGATGTAAAAAGAGCTATTCCAACCAAACAGGCAAGTTCCCGTCCCTGTCAGGAAGCTCCATTCCTAGCAGGGGAACTCTGACAATGGAAGGGCTGTGCACCAAGGAGGGCAGACACCTGCTAAGAGGCAGATGTTCAGGAAGTGCTCCTTCCAGCCTCTTCCCCCTTCCCAGGAAGCAAGGATCACCAGCCAGCAGTGACCCAGTGGAGCACCAAGAACAGCAGAGGAGGATTCGGAGAATAACTGGTTCGTAAAACCAAGGATTCTCCAAGATGTGAGGACATACACTCTATACCCTCACCTCCCCAGCCTCACCTCACACTATACCAAGTATCTAAGAGTCTAAGGGACAGCATGTGAATGTAAGAAGAAACCCCATGATGGGGCTGCCCATCCCAGCCAGCAAAGGAAAATAAAAGTCATTCAGCCATCCCCCACAGTTGAAGCACTGAGGTGACTCCATTTACTTCAATAATAGTAAAAAATAAACAAGAAAAAAGCAAAAAAAAAAACCCAGAATAAAGCAAGGGGGTGAAGCTCAGCAGTCCTGAAGATTGATCATGCTGGCATGTTCTTAGGAGACTGAAGAAGCTCAGAAAATGGCTGCCCAACACCATTTTCACAAGATAATTAAATTAATTCCACAGTATAAAAAGTTTTCAACTGCTAAATGTTCTTTCAATTTTATTCTGACTTCTCGTCATAAGGTTTGTTTCCTTCTTACTATTTCAGATATAATAAGAATTCAGGCTGAAAAATGTTCAGCATCTTAGATCCAATTCACTTTTATTTGGGGGCAGGTGAGAACATTAAGTTCTACTCTTAACAAATTTCAATTTATAAGACAGCATTACCAATATACTATATTGATAATATATTGTTATCAATATTATATGAATGTTATCAAAGTTATAGTCGTCATGTTATACACTAGATCCTCTGCCTACTTCTCCCTACCAACCGCTTAGTCCCTGGAACCTGGCAAATACTTTTCTACTATGAGTTATTTTTGTTGCTGTTGTTAGATAATCCACTTTCAATATAACTGTAACTGATTTTAAAGCTGCTTGAAAAGCTGCTTGAAAGTCTAAGTTAGAGGCCCTCCCTGGTGGTGCAGCAGGTTAAAGCACAGCACTAAGAAGCTAAAGAAACTTCAGCATGAGTTCGATCCCAGCCTGTCCTGGAGGTGACCCACATGGTGTGGCAGACCTCTCCTGACCTGCCTGCTGCTCCCCTCAGCAGTGTACTTTGTTGATCTGCCTGTTTTGCTCCCCGTTCTGTCTCTGGTGAAACCTCTCACCACTCCTGTACCTCTGGCCTGTACCCCAGTTCTGTATGCATAAATAAATAAATCTTAAAAAAAATGTCTAAGTTAGAGGCAGAGTCTCCTCCTCAAGTGGTAATACTCTATTTCTGATCCATAATGTTCCAGTAAAGTTCCTTGTTCACTGGGAAGTTCCCTATTCACATTATTTTGTTAATAAACCTGCTATCTTTGCATGGCAGAGCTTAGTGTGGCCCAGCACTGAACTTTAAAAAAAAATCTATGTATACTCCTCTTTGGTATACCCTAAAAAGCATAGAAAGTATACCTTTCTATGCTCCATACACAGCCCCTATGGGCATGTTCCATATAAAGGTAAACTTGATACTAGAAGGCCTTTGACTGGAAGAATAGCAAGTTTGGGGCAATCTTTCATTCTCAGCCCCAAAGTCATCCTAAAGCCAGAATCACGAACTCACACTCCAATGGGCCCCATGCCAGGGCCTCCTCCTCCATGGGGAATGCAGAAGGTCTTGTGAAGATTTAGGTGTGAGACATCGGACCCAAAGTCTCCAGGACGACAAAGTCCCACCTGCCACAGATAAAGAACCAAAGCAAAAGTCAAGTGCATGAGCAGGTGCTTCAAAGAGGCAGATAAGCTGGCCTCTGTGGCCTCTCCTCTCACAGGAAAAGTAGACAGAGTGTTCATAGAAATGTTCTCAATATTGACTGAGTTCTGCAGGAAAAAAAAAACAACCCTGGCATCCCATAGGCTGTGTGGCTTGTGGTTTCTATAGAAACATCAATGGACCATTTAGTTTAACTTAAATTTTAAAATAAAAGTTTAAATATTCTGTCCATTCCTAACTACCATCCCCCTGAGGGAAGAGAGTAAATACCTTATAAAAATAGGAAGTTTCAACCCAGCATTTTTCTCTTTCCCTGAAGCCAGTCTTAGGTGTAAAACACTTAACCCACAGGTTTCTCAAGACATAATGCTGTAAGGGGGTGGAGAATACCATAGAGGATGCTGAGCGGGGAGAGAAGAAAAGAGGTTGATAGTTGTCTTGAGACCATTCTGAAACCAACCACAGCTTTCAAAAGCTTTTCTGCCACTTCAGCATTCAAACTAATTCTGAATGTGGCCAAAGATAAAGAATTTGTGATACTGAAGCGACAGAGAACCCCAGGACTACATTTACAAAAGGACAGAAGCAAAGTGAGTCTGAAATGGTAAAAAAATAAATCAATGAGTAGAAAAAACTCTCAATTGAAGATAGTCCTTTCCTCCAATGGTTCCCCACAGCATTTCCTCAGAAGCACACATCACAGACTCCGTTTTCTCAAAACTGACATGGGGATCGTACTTCAGGGATAGACTATTCAGCTGTTTCACACTTGGAAGCCTAAGCCAAGTTAATGACTTTGTGCAAAGCCATAGTAAATCAATATATACCAATGACCAAAATGTGGGTCTAATTTCCCTTAGGAATGGAGTCAGATGACCTTGCCTTAGCACCCCCAGAGAGATCTCATTGCCTGTCAATTCCTGTCTCCAGCTTCACACTTTTATCTCCTCCCCAGTATCTCCCATGTTCTCTAGGATGTAACATTACAATGAAATTGGAAGTACTTTCTCTGAAGTTCAGTTAAAAGAAAATCAGTCCCTTCTGAATTCAGAAAAGAATTCACAATTCAGACAATTGTCAAGAAGTGAGAGAAGAAAAGAAGCCCACCTGGGCATTCATATTTGCCCCATCTAGGTAAACCTGTCCTCCGTGTTGGTGGATCAGGTCACACACTTCGCTGATGTTCTCCTCAAATACTCCATTGGTGGATGGATACGTAATCATGATTGCCGCGAGGTTCTCTTTGTGTTTATCCACCTGTGGGATAAAAAGGCAGTGGGAGACAAAGGAAGAAATGTTTCTTTACTGGCAGATGATTGCTTGTTATGTTAAAGGATTAACAAACAATAAAGTCTTGACTTTTCAAAGTACCAGGACAACAATGAGATCTCTTCAAGCTAAGGCTCTGGTCAGGAGCAAAAAGACTACTCAGGAGATATTTTGGGCTCAATTCTCTAATGTGGTTTTCCTTTTGGTTTAAGTTGTCTCAAAAATTATTTCACATCTTTTTATTTCCTGACATGTCTATTTGCACAGTTCATCTCTCTCTCTGTTCATGCACCCTTATGCCCTTTCCCTCCCATTCCACTGAAATTAGAATTCCCATACGGAGTGTGCCTACCCTGATGAAAAAAATCTCATATTTCCTTTTGACAGAAAGCCAGCTTATATAAAAGACATGTTTCTTGGATTTTGGCCAGCAAATCATGTGGAAATGGAAAAAAAGAAGGAAAAAAGTTCTATCTTATATCCAACAACTGCTATTACAACTTCTAATCTGGCTCCAAATATTTGTTAGTAAAAACTTTGTGGAGCAATGGAAAGGTGGAGGTGAATGGAAAAGATGAGCAGCATTGTGTATTTTTCAGCCTCCATCTGAAGGAAATAATATGAACTTCTGTTTCAGTGCCTAATAACCCCAGCAAAATCACATTGCTATTCAACTGATTTCCTTCCCGCTTAAGATGCAGCCTCCAGTCCACCAGCGGAAAGCAGATACGGTTGCTAAGCAACCTCTTCCTGGAGGTTGGGAGGTTAGGAGTGGGGGTTGGTATGCAGGAAGGAGGGAGGAAGCTGCCTGAAATTCAGTAGGTAATGGTTGGGAAAGTCACAGGCATTTGCAAAATCTATATTTATATTTTAATTCCCAACACAAGGATTGAGAAGAACTGTGGTTGCCAGCTTGATTATTAATGGGAGAAGGTTGGGCAGAAAGAGGAAGGAAGGTACTATAAGGAATACCCTTACCACCACTATGAATAATTCATTCTGTGCATGTTTTTTACACTTGCACAGATTAGAGGATGGAGTTTCAATTTAAAGGACCTTCTCCCTGTTGGTGAAGGGAAAAGTGAAATAGACTATGGTCAGGATTGTTCTAAACTAAAAATGTCACTGTTGCTTTAATTTTCTTATCAACATGGCTGTGGTTTCTTATTTTACGCCATATTCTACAATCCTGTTCAGAGGACAAATTGCAGTCTTTTCAACAGAATGCAAAGAGAACAGTGGTTATCTAAACCATCCAGTCCCTGATCCCCACCATCTCTTTCCAATCCAGACCTTTCCCATCTGCTGAGTGCAGGACAGTTACCATGGCCTTGAGGTGAGCTGCATCAATACTCCCGTATTTATCCACCTCGACGGGCTGAATTTTCATGCCTGCCATGTGGGCACTTGCGGGATTGGTCCCATGTGCTGATTTCGGAATGAGGCAAACCTTAGAAATGCAATGAAATGAGGCAATGAAAGAAGGCGGATTAAAAAAAAAATCACTAGGCTATTCATGATGCCAGAAATGTTCTACAACACGCTTGGAGCACAAATTAAAAAGGCGCCACACATTTTATTTAAACTGACCACTATTGTCTTAGAATCTATTCCAATTTATTACTGTATTAAAAAACAATGCACAAAACAGGAGTTTCCATTTGAATGATCAAATGCTATTCCCTGAAGACTATCAAATATGAATATTCTCCTCCCTTATGCCAAATATACAAAAAGTCAGTCTGTGCTTATTTTACCCTGTCTCAGTTATAACATGTGGAAAGCACCTTATAAGAATATGAGGTTGGAAGTTAAACTCTAGGATTCAAATGCCCAATTTATAGTTTTTTTGGTTGACTCAGCTGAGATCCAAGAAAGATCCTATCAGACATACACCAATTAAGTCATCATTTATTGGTTGCTTATTCTGTGTAATGACTTGTTAGTTACCAGGAGAATCATAAACTAAGCACAAAATCTGATCACGTAGTACACTCACTGATAACTCTGGCTTCTCTACCTGTGGCTGTCTAGAGCCTGCAAGTGCTGTAGCAATCAGCATTAGAGGTGAAGCCTAAATTGAAGATACCAGAAAAAATGTCTTAAGAGTCAGAGCCTGGCCCTCCCTGGTGGCGCAGCAGGTTAAAACACAGCACTAAGAAGCTTAAGCCACTTTCGCATGAGTTCAATCCCTGCCTGCCCTGGAGGTGACCACATGGCGCCGCAGACCCCTCCTGACCCGCCCACTGCTCCCTTCAGCAGTGTACTTAGTTGATCTGCCTGTTCTGCTTCCCACTCTGTCTCTGGTGAAGCCTCTCACCGCCCCTGCACCTCTGGCCTGTACCCCAGTTCTGTATGCACAAATAAATAAAATCTTAAAAAAAAAAAAGAGGGCCTAATCTAGAGCTTAAAGGTTATGTTAAATTTTGGGGTAGGGTACATGCTGAATCCAAAGTTAGAATTTTCAGATTTGAATCATCTTCATTTCTTCCCACAATCATGAAAACAGATGTGAACACATGCTTTTCAGTGCCACTGACAAGAGCCTGAGTGTTGTCACAACAGAAAGCCACAAAGTGAAGCAGCGATCACCCTGGAAATAATAATTTTTTTTAAAATCCCAGAACCTATAATACAACCTCTTGAAGAAAAATGGATGATTATTGTAAAATATGGGCTTTAGAAGGAAAAAAAGAACTAAGCTTATAATAGTTTCCAATGTTGTCCACTTAAGAAAAAATGCATGTCTACAGAAAAAGAATTGTAACCAGAGGCAAACATGGAAATACTGCATTATTCTTCTGAGGTGGAAGGTTTGTGTCTTATTGAAATGGCTGCCAATCTCATGCAGCCTATCCTGTGCTGTCCTCAAATCCTTTTTCTTGTTTAATGCTTCCCTTTTGTACTTAAATTTTTTCTTTTCATTTTTCAGGATCAGAGCTGGAATCACAAGTCTTTTCTCACAAGGTATTTTTATTCCACAAAAGGGTTTTGAATAAAATAATTCCCTCTGGGCAGAAAATGAATCAAAGAAGAGAAAAGCAAATATTAAAAATGAATGTAAAATCTTTGTTAAAGACCTAAATTAAGCATTCATACTAGAGAAGTTCAGTTAAAATAAAAACATCCAAGCTAAAAATGTCAACCATGGTGTGACATGCTGAACAATGAGTCCTTAAAAGACACACTCTTTCTGGCCCTCCCTGGTGGTGCAGTGGGTTAAAGCACAGCACAAAGAAGCTTTAGCCACTTCCGCATGAGTTCGATTCCCACCTGCCCCGGAGGTGACCACATGGAGTGGCAGACCTCTCCTAGCCAGCCCACTGCTCCCCTCAACAGTGTACTTCGTTGATCTGCCTGTTCTGCTCCCCACTATGTCTCTGGTGAATCCTCTCACCACCCCTGCACCTCTGTCCTGTACCCAGTTCTGTAAGAATAAATAAATAAATCTTAAAAAAAGAAAAGACACATCCTTCCTAATTCAGAACCTATAAATATATTACCTTTATGGCAAAAGGAAACTGGTTATATGTCATTAAATTCAGGATCTTGAGAAGGGAAATGAATGATCTTGGTATAGAATCTTGAAATCTGGTTGATTGGTTAGGTAAATGTATTCGTGATTGTTCTTATGAAAGGGAGGCAGAAGAATTAGGAGTTGTGATGACTGATCAAGAGGTTGTAATGACAGCAGGAAGGGACCATGAGCCAAGGAATATAGAAGGTCTCTAAATACAAGGACCCTCCAGAAAGAACTAGCTCTGCAAATAACTTGACTAAACTTGAGTGAAATAAATTTCAGACCTCTGGCATCCATAATGATAAAAATAAAGTAGTATTGTTATAGGGCACCCCAATTCTGTTAAGAGAACAGGGGGAGAGGGACACCCCTAAAGCCCCAAAAACCTGCCTGCTCTCAAGTGGGTTCTGCCATCCGCCGCAATAAGAAAAAACACATAAAACTTTAATAAAAAGGGACTTTAATACAGTAAATATACAATATGGAACACAAAGAATATAACTTCTAAATCAAACACCTCAAGTTACCCATCCCCTCGTGGGCAAAAGTCAACCCCAAAGGGATTTCTTCAAAGCAAGGCCTGAAAGCCTGCCACTAGACTAAAGCGCCTTCTGGCCGGGACCCATGGAAAAGGGTCAGAAATGGCCAGACAAATCTTGGAGGAAAAGAGCAAAATCAAAATCAATATAAACACTGCCACAGTCACCTCCCTACAGGTCTCTCATCCACATCTGCCTTAACCAGTCCAATGTCAGGAAACAAGCTTGGTTTCTTCATCACATGCTTGCTGCTCCATGTGGCTTCCTCAGGTCTCCTCCTCCTTCCCCATCCTGCTTCATTTCCTTCTCTTCTCTCCTTTTTCTCTGCTCAGCTCCACCCTCCTACTGGGTGGGGCAGGGAACCTGGAACTTCCCTTTTTCCTAGGGACCACCCTGTTACAGTATTGTTTTTAGCTACTGTTTGTAATAATTTGTTATTAATATTTTTTAAAGCCATAGGAAACTAAGGCACTATCTGATAGAAGTTGTGGAAAGGAAAAAGTGTCAGTGATTTTGCTATCATTTGTTTCTATCTTGCTAGTAGCCATTTCTGGTTTTCTATGAGGATTAAGAAACTTTAATTGCTTTTTTTGTGATGCAAATTATCCTCCACTTTAAAAATCTTGGTGTTAAAAGACACAAAGTAGGAACTAGATTCCATGCATTAGAAGATCCAAGATTAAAAACCACTTTGCAAATTTATCCCAATTTAAGTAGATTCTGTGTTTCTTTCCTAAGGTACCTGGAAGACCCAACATAGGTCATCCTTAGACACTAGCTGACTGAGTGAAGGATTAAAAAAAATGTTTCCTTATAAGAGAGTTAATTTCTTCTCACTAGTAAAAATTCATCCATCAAAGGCCACTACTTTGCCTCAAGCAGTTTGGAAGAGGACATTCCCAAGAGATTTGGGGGAGTAAACTTTTGGTGGGATTTGGTCAGTGTTTTCCCTTTATATATGAAACTTGTCACTGATCAGAGACCTGAATTAACATTTGCTAGAAAACTGAGTTATTATTTGGGACCATGATGGCAATTACTAATAATAATGTTTATTGAATACATTTGTATTCTCTAAAATTAAATTGGTGAATCAAGAACTTTGGTCATTGCATTAGGAACTCTGAAGTTTAACCTCAAAGCAAATGCAAAACATGACTTCCAAAGACAGCTTGAACAAGAGAAATATCAGGAACCCAGGCAGTTCCACAGCACATGATTTCTCCACACTCCTTTTTTTTTTTAAAGAAAGACATATTTTACTGGTTTCCATTAGAGTCTATTGTACAGGACCAGCTGTCTCAGTCATCTCTGATGTGGAAAAATCATCCCTGATTATTTGGATAATAAGTAATTTTCTTCTCCTCTAACTAAAAAAAGTTGGCTTTAATTAAAATCTTTAATCTGGAAAGGATGCCAACATTTCCAATCTGAAGAGTTCTATATTTCTGCAAGTTTAGTGTCTGGGTGGCTCTTCTTCCTTTCCTTCCAAAAATGCAGGGGTCAGCACCTTTCCATCCTACAGAAAGCAACAGTCTCTCATGAGACACTTCAGGGATAACAGTATAAGCAATGACAGTAGTGTGGGTAATGGTGACAGCAGAAATGTTGTACACAAGGTGACACAGAGAGAAAATGGATGGAAAAACACAAAGAGAAGAAAAAGGGTCAAAAAAGAATTGTGAGTCACAGAATAACTTTGCATAGGCTTAAGTATAAGGTCTCCCATTTTTCTCCCATTGATCTCTCTGGCTTGGTTCCTAGCTCTTGGACATTCACAGATACTTCAGGTGTCAGCCTGGTGAAATGGGAAACAATGATGGGGGAAGCATCCCAGAGTGGACAGAATCTGAAATATAACTAGCCCTTTGTCATTAGCTCATTACCATACCTCCACAGAGCACCATTACCATGCATCTCAATCTCCTAGTAAAGCAGGGGTGAGAGATGGGATTAGGAGAGCAAGTGGAGATGCCACACAAAACTGTTGGCTCCCTTCCAGGATCCCCAGACACCTTGTGGCTAAAAGCTAAGGCATTTCAGGGGCTGCCTCATGATGTAGAAGTCACAAAGGAAAACTAGAAAGGGGAAATTTTAATGTCAGCCATCTGATATCCTTTCACCAGACAACTGGAGCTCTGGTATTTCCTTTCTGACTGTAAAAGAACTGAGATTCTTATGTCCAAACAATTATAGTTCCAAAATAACCCTCAAAATTCAAAACATGAGAAAACCCAAGTTTAAAAAAAAAGTTGGAAAGTCAGGAACTACCTGATTTATCACTTATTTTTTCTCTAAGCTGGTACCCATGGCTTTAGACATGGCTAGTACTCAAAACTTATTCAATTAATGAACACCTTTCTTTCCAAAGTTCTTTGAAAATTAATTCTATCCGAAGTTCTTTGAAAACTAATTAATTCCTGACCAGGAAGAAGGCCTGAGAAAACACACCTGTAGTTTCAAAATGGAAAAGCCAGGGGAGGAAGGAGAAAATGTTTTCTTTCCTTCCTTTTATGAAAGGGAAGTGAAAACATTTTTAAATTCTTCATTGCAAAATCCAGACAACTAGCCATAAATAATCTTCAAGTTTGTAACAAAACCAGAAATGGATGAAGACTAGGCCTGCCCACTTGCAATCATCAAGCACTCACAGCATTTTCTCTAACTCTCCTGGATAGGCAGTGTTTTTTGCCCTGCTCCTAAACTCCTCCTCTTAGCTCCCTATAAGAATTCCACCTCCATAGCCCAGAGGACATTTTATATTAGCACTCATCACCAAAATGGGCTCCAAGTAGATTCATCTCCTTCAGCCACAATTCAGTAGAATCCCATCAAGCCCATTAGTTTCTGCAGGAGACCATAGGGTCCCCAGGAACTGTTTGGGCTCTGGAGACTAAACTCTCATAGCAAAGCAAACAATAAAGCAGAACTGGCAACATGCTCCATGTCTTACTTGTTGAGCCAACAATTATTTAGCAAACATTTAGGGAAATCTACTATACCAGTATATGTTTTTGAATGCACATATGATGAGAACTTTACTTAGGCACAAGAGGAGTTACAAAAGAATTAAAGCTCAGTCTCTATATTTGGCCAAGATGAGAGCCAAGACTGATCCAAGAAGAGAGGCTTAGAATGGCAACATTCCTGCCCCTTCCTCCCTTTGCTCCCTGGAGAGACTGGCTGAATTTTACACAATATGTTTGAGCAAAGCCTTTTACCTACTAATGTTTTCCCTTAAAATGATGCTGTGAGATGTCTCGGATTGTAATTGACAGGTTGATTCTATGGTTCTCAGCTGCTTCCAAGATGGCTTCATGAAAGTGTCCCACAGAACAGAAGGGCTATGGCTGGACCCACTGCCACCTTGTGAGGAGTGACAACCCCCTCCCTCCATCCGTACTTACTGTTCTGTGTCTCTCTCCTTTCCCATCTAAGTATGCTCTGATGGTGGCCAGCCCAGCATATTCCCCCTGGGCTCCGCTGCAAAGATAAAATGAGAAGGATCAGGACTTTGGGGTTCTTTGCTTTCATTTACTCATTCAATAATCTTCGGGTTTAGGCCAAGTGTTCACCAACATGTGACTTCACAAAAGAACTATGCGCTTTAATGTGGTCCCATTCCCGGCAGTCTCGGGGTTGGCTTTCTTAGACTCTGCATGCACATGGCTGCTGGAGGCTGGCCATACCCATCAGAACACTCAGTGAAGACTCTTCTTTGAAAGAACACTTAATGACTAACATTCCAGTGAGCAATGCCGAGTTGATCATAAATTGTTACTTAGTGTTCTCAGTACTCTGTGCAGGAAGGAGAGGGAAGTGAGTAATAGGTTTTTTAATCCCATTTGGAATGTCCTCCATTTCAAATAATAATATCATCATTTTACTCTGTGGAAAGCCCAGTGGCTTTCACGTTTATCTCTTCTGGTCCCCTGTAACATTCTGATCATACACTAGAGGCATAAGGCTCAAGAATAAATTAGATAGACTTTCTTTCATTTGTAAACTAAACGCTAAAATGTTGAACATAGAAGATTTATTTTGAGAGATTGGTAGGACAGAATCATTTGGATTAGATGTGTTTGCAAACTAGTGTAGAAACATTTATGGTTTGGTGAAGGAGACAACAGAATCGATGACTGAGAGTTCAGCATGAGGACAGAACAAGAACAGGGAAGAATGTGAGGATGAAAAATCTAGTCTGACTGGAGAAAGAAAAGGAAAGTGGTGATTTCCACAGCATGAAGCAAAAGAAGAGACTAGGTGAGGTTAAAATAATAATAATAATAATAATAATAATAATAATGATAATAATAATGATAACAGTAAGTATATTGCTACGCCACTCATTATGTGTTCCTATTGACCAGATGCTCTGCATCAAGTGAAAATAGGCAGGAGGTCAGGTAATTATCATTACCCCCCTTTGCACATTAAAAAATGGAGTTCAGGGGGGAAGGGAAATGCACGAGATTATGGTGATGGCACATGGGTGACTTGGTGATGGGAAACCCGCGGGGATTACAATTGAGATGGGAAAAAAAATGTACAAAATGATGTAAAAATAAACTTTTGTAATAAAAAAAAATAAGTTTAATAGATATCTCTACACCTCCTGAAAGATGACATAACTTCCTGGCATTAAGTTGAAGTCACTGAGAATGCTTCATTTTTTCTAGATCTTAAAATAAGTCATTTTCAAAGACGTATTTTTCCCTTGAGAATTTAGACTATTTCTTTCCTTTGTTTAATAGTATTTGTATTGTATTTTTAGTGGAAGTAAACTTCCCATAACATAAAAGTTACCATTTTAACTACTTTAAAATGTATAATTCAATGGCTTGTACTCTATTTGCAATGTTGTTCAACTAGCACCACTCTCAAGCACCAGTACATCTTCAGCACCTCAAAAGGGAACCTTGTTCTTATGAAATCATTATTTCCAATTCCCTCCCACTCACCCTCCAAGTCCCTGGAAACCACAAATCTGTTTTATGCCTCTATGGATTTGCTGACTCTAGACATTTCATATAAACATTGTATGTTTAAAAAAAAAAATGGAGTTAAGAGTTTTTCTCGCCTTTTACATGACTAATAATCAACAATGACATACAGGCTCACTTGGTACAAGTGGACCTCCCTCGAGGAGCATTGCGCTTCCCTTGTAAGCAAACTGCTCTTCTGAGCATGCTATGCGTTTCAAGCATTGAGGCTGGAGGCTAAACTGGTTTTGCCTTCACAGAACCCTTGTCTGACTGATAGAACAGGCTACTAAGAACATAAGGCCCACTCCCACAAAATCTGGGCACCCAATTCCTTATCAATCACACTGCAGCACTCTGTGCCCTTCCAGGGAAGGAGCCAGCACTAGTCTCATGTTTATTTAGTTTTTGAGAAGTTCTAGCTCATTTGATGTTCTTTATTTTGAAAACAGAAAACAAATATGCAAACCACTCACACCTGTGGTTACTTAGTGTCCCCGTGCCTGTGTTCTCTTCTCTAAAATGGAGATAACAATTACACCCACTCTGAGGGTGAAGACATGAAGAGTAATGAGATAGTCCATTGTAAAGTGTTTATAAAGTACCAGGCAAAAGTAAATGGTTCATTAAGTGCTGGCAGCTATAACCACTTACATCACTGTCACCATCATCAACAGTCGGGCAGCAACTCTGACTAGTTCAGGCACTAGCTTGGATGGGTTAACACAACATTTGAGTTAGCACTTCCACAGCCCTTAATCTGGTTTAACTCCTACTGCCCTCTCACCAGTCAAATCCCACTTATTCCCATATCCCAAATCCCATATATGTATTAACCCATCCCAACTCAAGTTCCACTTCTTATTTAAAGTCTTTCTAAAAGTCAAAAATTCATTTACTGACCATTGGCCTTAAAAATCCCCACATGACCTGTGGGTTCTGCCCCACATCTAACACCTTTTCCTCTGCCATTATCCTGTTTGTTTTTTAAGTTTATTTACTTATGCATATAGAACTGTGGTACAAGCCAGAGAGGTACGGGGAGGAGTGAGAGGATTCACCAGAGACGAGTGGGGAGAAGGACAGGCAGACTGACTGAAGTACACTGCTGAGGAGAACTGCAGGTGAGACAGGAGAGGTCTGCTGTGGGTCACCTCTCTGGCCAGGGATTGAACTCCAGCTGAAGCGACTGCTGAAAGCTTTGCAGCCTTGCACTTGACCCAGTGCGCCACCAGGGAGGGCCCCATTATTCTGTTTTTTTTTTTTTTTTTTTATTCCTGCTAAGTATCATCTTCTTTATGTCAAGAACACAGACCTTAGGATGTTCAATAAAAACCAATAGATTGAAAGAGTGAGTGAATAGCTGTACCTTTCACATCACAGCATTTTATTCTATTCATTCTTCTGATAGAAGCATCTTACATATGCACTTTACATTAAAGATTATTATAGCGGCCCTCCCTGGTGGCGCAGCAGGTTAAAGCACAGCACTAAGAAACTAAAGCCACTTCAGCATGAGTTCGATCTCCGCCCACCCCGGAAGTGATCATTATGGTGAGGCAGACCTCTCCTGACCCACCCGCTGCTCCCCTCAGCAGTGTACTTTGTAGACCTGCCTGTTCTGCTCCCCACTCTGTCTCTGGTGAAGCCTCTCACCGTCCCTGCACCTCTGACCTGTACCCCAGTTCTGTATGAATAAATAAATTTAAAAAAATTATTATAGCTCTCCTGTTGACTCTGTGCCTGCCTTAATCTCAATTAGAGTATAGGGCATGATACCCCTCATAGGATGGAGGAATACTCAGAGTCACTAATAAATATTTGGTAAATTTATTCAAAATCCAGTTCTACCCATCAGCCCAGGCAACCAATATTAATGTCATCCTGTCCAGTTGTGGGGAGGAATCTTAACAAATGGGTTTTGTATATTCCTTTGTGTTTTCTCTCCTATTCACCTTGTTTTGTTGGGGACAAATCAATGTGTTCATAGACTAGAGATGAAAGACAAGAGCTAGGAGCCAGCAATCTAAAAAAAAGGCAATATGCTAAAAACTTGATCAGAAATGCTGGGTGATTTTTTTTTTATCTTTGATATTCTTAAAATCAGGTATGTTTCAACTCCAAAAATGTAAAAGATATGTTCTGAATTCCACACAAAGCTTGCTGCTAGGGTATTACTAAAATAAAGGAATTGTTAGTGCCATCTGTTGGTGGAAAATATTGTGAAAAATAACAGAGACATCAACAGCCTGATGTATGTGTGGAGGCAGCTAGGATAGAGGCATGACATATATTCAGGAGCCAGAGAGCCATTGCGGATGTTGATGGATAGGGAGCCTCAGATCTGCAGAAGTGCCGAGTTAACATAAGCTTAAGCTGTGTTAGAAAATAAGACACAGGGCCCTCCCTTGTGGCCCAGCGGGTTGGAGCACACACTGCAAAGCTAAGCCAAGCCATGGACACTTCATTGCAAGTTTGATCCCCACCCAGGAGCTGACCCACTCGGCATAGCAGACCTCTCCTGTCTCATCCCCTGTTCCCTCAGCAGTGTACTTTGTTGATCTGCCTGTTCTGTCCCTACTCTGTCTCTGGTGAAGCCTCTCACTGCCCCTGCATCTGTGGCTGTACCCATTTCTGTATGCATAAATAAATAAACATTTTTAAAAAAATAAGGCACAGCTTTTACTGATGAAAGAACAGTTATGTGATTTTGTTTACATGAATACATGAAAACTCCTCCTAAAACCCAGACTCATTCTATAAAGAATCTGTGAGAAATCCATAGATTAGAAGAAACTAAGAAAAATTCTAATGAAAATACAATGGTGTTGACAGAAGTAAATAGTTTTGTGATGATTTAACCCACGACTACCAGTGCTAGCATATTATCCTAGTGTGCAATTTCAGGGATGCTGATAATTGTGAATTAACTCCCCAAAAGAGGGAAGCAGTTGGAATTTGACCATAGCATGGCATAGGTATGGTGATAGTTCAGCTCTTTTGTAAAGATTAAAACAGGAATTGAAGGACACAATGAACTTCGAACCCTTTTTTCATTTTATCTTTACCTTTGCTAAGAAAAGGTAAAAAGATTGATATTTTATAATGGCACAATTACTTATACTTGGAATGGTTACATTTTTGGATCTTTGGGAAAAAATTTTATTGGACCATAACATAATCCCAAGGCACACTTGGATACTTGTGCTAGAAATATGACTGCAGATATGGTTATGATGACAGAGGAACATGGCCTGTCCTTATATATGACTGTGGGATACATCATCAGTTGTCACCAGTGGAAAACGCAGCACTTACGTATAAAATGGATTAGGATTGTAATAAAGGTACTTAACTCAGGAGTACATGGGGGCCTCCCTGGTGGCCTCTGTTGCTCCCTTCATAGCACTGTGAAGCTATTAGCAGCCCAAGCACAAGCTTCCTTATCATTAGATGAGTCATGTGGGAACCCTGACTTGAACTTAAATTTACCTGAAAAGCTAATGATTTTAGAGTTAAAATAGTTTTGAAAAATTGCTCTGTAATATGACACAGAAATTGTTATAATATTCCATCAGTAGGGGGCGAAGTTTATGTATTTTCAACATAATGTATTACTGCCTTGAGTTAAGAAAATTACAGGGGGGGGGGTGCTGGGAGTGGAAGAAAAGAAGGGAACAGGATCAAAACTGGAGTGGGAAGAGCTCACAGGACTATGGTGATGGCACATAGGTGAAGTGGAGGTGGGAAGTCCACAGGGATTACAACTGAGATGAAAAAATGTACAAAATGAAAAAAGATTTAAAAAATATATATAATATAGTAAAGAAATTTACTAAGGTTCCTTCCTTAAAAAATGTTTTAAAAGCTGAATAATGGCATTTAATGAAGATCTAAAGGATATGGAAATATCAGTCCCTTTCTAACCATGAAATGAAGGTTTGAGAGGCTATTATTAAAGCCCCATGACCTTGTTTTTCTTTTTTTTGTTTCCATATGCTTTCTTCCTGAAAGGTCTTTTTTTTTTTTTTAAAGATTTATTTATTTATGCATACAGACGGGGTACAGACCAGAGGTGCAGGGGTGGTGAGAGGCTTCACCAGAGACAGAGTGGGAAGCAAAACAGGCTGACTGATGAAGTACACTGCTGAGGGGAGCAGCAGGCGGGTCAGAAGAGGTCTGCCGCATCATGTGGGTCACCTCCAGGGCTGGCTGGGATGGAACTCATGCTGAAGTGGCTTTAGCTTCTTGGTGCTGCATTTACCCACTGCACCACCAGGGAGGGCCCTGCTTTTTTTTTTTTAAGATTTATTTATTTATGCCAAAAAGAACCAGTGTATAGGCTATTGGGGCAAGGAGTGAGAGGATTCACCAGAGCCAGAGTAGGGAGCAGAAATACACAGCTGAGGGGAGCAGGGAGTAAGACAGGAGAGTTCTGCTGCACCATGTGGGTCACCTCACTGGCTGGGAACTGAACTTGTGTTACAGTGGCTTGTGACAACTTGATAGTACTGCCTTTAACCCTTGTGCCACCAGGAGTTCCAAGGTTTATATTTTAGAGGGTAAACTGTTTTCACAAAGCACATGGTTTTGCTATATAATCTAACTTACCAAACAGGTGACCAGGGTTGATAATATCTAACTATGATCTGATTAGACTGAGACATAGCTGCTTGTAGGAGTTAATGTGTACTTGACGCTAATCCTCATGAATTACATCATGAAAAGTCATATTAGTCTACAAGGTGGCCCACAATGAACTACAGCTCAAAATTCAGACTATGTGTTGTCAGAGTGGGGAGCAGACTGATGACGTTCACTGCTGAGGGGAGAGGTCAGGAGAGGTCTGACACACCATGTGGGGCGGGGATCGAACTCTCATAGAAGTAGACACAGTCAGCTTCGAAGTGCTGCGCTTTAACCCGCTGTGCCATCAGGGAGGGCCTGGAATCATTTAAAAAAAAAAACAACCACTTTTTAAGTAGGGAAATGGATTTATTCTTTTCAGGAGAGCACATTGTAGGTAGAAAGGAGGCAGGGAGGAAAGGCAGGGGTGCACTAGGTGCAGGAGAGGAGAGAAAAAAAAAATTTAGACTCTGTGTTGTCCCATCCAACATTTGATCTGAGCTAGTCATGTAACTTGCCTTAACAGAATACTCTGGAATACTGTGTAATCTCAGAAACTGAGAGATCTGCAGCTTCCACATCCTTCCATCTTAGGACAGTTTATTTTGAATCTAGAGATCATGCCATGAGGAAACTCAAGCAACCACAAGAAGCCTACATGAAATGCAAACAAAGTCCTGGTTGATGTCTTTGAGTGAACTGCCAGTCAACAGCCTCACTGACTTGCCAACTAGACTAATGAGATTACTTTGGACTTTCTAGTCATTCAGCTCAGGGCAGTACAATGTCTATTCAGAATGATATGAAGTAATTGTTTCAAGCCCCTAAGTTTTTGGAGTGAGTGTTACACAATAGTTAAAGGAAACAGTGGGAGAAGTCTCCTGACCTGTTAGGCTGGAAGGAGATTTGGTCATAGCCTGTGAGTTCACACAAATCCTTTTCAAGTTCTTGGAAAAGCTGTTGGTATCCTTGAGCTTGGTCCAGAGGCACAAAGGGGTGGATGTTAGCAAACTCATTCCATGTGATAGGCTGAAATGCAAGAGGGATGAAAACATATGTATAGTATATATTAAAATGGTGATCATAATACTAACTTCTACTATGACAATGATGATAATAGCAAAACTAACACAAAAAGTGGTTATATGAACCAACTATGGTTCTAAGTACTTGAGATATATTAGTTTACTTGAAGTCCTACCACAGTCTTCATTTTACAAGTGGATAAAGTAGCCTAGAAAGGAAACGTACACACACAAAAAAATCTTTTTCTATCTTTTCAGAACCAAAAGACTGAAAAATAGATTTGCAACATGCAATCCAAGGAGTTGCTTCAAATACGGTTTATCAAACTATTATATGCTAGATTATTTTCTCCCTTTCTTAAGCAGAAAAGTACAACATAAAAGTAAATGTAAAAAACCTCCCTAACACAAAATTATCTCCTTTTCCTGAAGTGGTTTCTTGCAACAAAAAACTACTACAGAAGGAAATAAAGAAGTAATATAAAAATGCTAAAATGGATCCTAGCCTAGTAGAAATACTTAACAAACCACAAAAGCATTTTATGCAAATTTTCTACTGATATAAGAAATACACTAGAGCCTCAAATCTCTTATTTTACCAGCAACGACAAATTGGTTTTGTTTTATTTTTATTTATTTATTTATTCGTACAGAACTGGGGTACAGGCCAGAGATGCGGAGGGTGAGAGGATTCACCAGAGACAGAGTAGGGTACAGAACAGGCAGATTGACGAAGTACACTGCTGAGGGGAGCAGCGGGCGGGTCAGGAGAGGTCTGTCACGCCATGTGGATCTCCTGCAGGGCAGGTGGGGATTGAACTCATGCCAAAGTGGTTTAAGCTTCATAGTGCTGTGCTTTAACCTGTTGTGCTACCAGGGAGGGCCCTGGTTTTATTTTTAAAGCTCTAACATGGCAAATTTAATAAAGAGGCATGAAAGGGATAAGAAGGTATAAATAAATCTTATTTTAAATAAAAAGTAATTTTTCTCAAAATTTAACTGAAAATATGAAAAATAAGGGTTTCTACCTACATTATTAAATAGCACAGTTAAGCATTATTGCTGTAGTTTTCAATCATACTGTTAGCAGCTTTCTCTAGTTAGCTTCTATATTTGTAAGTGAAAACAATGAGCTACTAGCCTCCTTTTTAATATACATAAGCTACTTACTGCGAGTTCTGATGAACTGTTGAGCTTCATGGTGCAGGACCCCTTAAAGAAGAAAATCCAAATGTATCACATTAGTGATTTCTTATCATTCATATGTCAGCCCTCCAATCTTTCCACATGGCCGCCCCTTCATCCCTCCTGCAGAATATTAGATGTGACCCACTGAGGTAAGATGAGATGGGGTCACAACTGGAAATAAGGGCAACAGTTACCAGTGGAATCATACTGTGAACAAGGGAAATGTCTTTGTTTTCCAATTTCTTCATATATCGAACAATATTTGTTTCTGAGTGATAGCTGCGAATACAACAGACATGGTTAGGACCAATAAAATGAGTTCATACACATCTGAAAGATTTGACATACTGAGCTCTACCTTCAACATACAGATCAAATTGGACCATGGGCCAAAAGTTAACAAATCCTTAGAAAGAGGACACAATATGTCCTTGGAGCTAAAAGGGATTATTGGGACAATAAGTTGTCTGGAGGCATGAGAGGAAGGCTGGGGAGAAGAGGATGTTGAGTTCCTAGGTATGAACTTAGATGGACAACACTTACTTCCAAACTCTGCCAAGAGAACAGGGCTCCCAGGAAATGTGTGCTTTGCCCACATCAAGAGTGTGCTTTCTCTACTATGCTTCCAAGCCATGCAACAAAATAGAGAGGTTATACAAGCCATACAAACCTATTAAACACCTGATGTGTGAGGAATGGACTGGTTCTCTTGAGGGCAGTACCTGGAATACCTCTGAGTTCCTCACCCATGCTTTCAGCAACCAGCTCCTGCATAGAGAGATCACAGAAACTAAAAACAAGGAAATGTGCCTGGAACCGTGGTTCCAGCTTCCAAGCTAAGGCCAGTGTATATTCTGATAGAGAACCAGAAATTCCCAATCTACTCCTTTCCCCCAGTTCTTCAGGGTGTTTGGCCTGGTGTGTTGATGGATATCAGGACTTGTGAATTGTAGCCATCCTCAGAATATCTTTCTTAAAAGTTCTGTTCATCTTTGTCAAAATAAGGAAAAGTGTGATTTTTACTGAAAAAAGTTGACATTTCCTGCATGTTTTCTGAGCAATGAAATATTTCCAGCTAATTATTTTGAAGGGCTATCCAAAAAAGTTATTATTATAAAATTCACATAAGGATCCTCACTTAACACTTTTTTTAAAAGATTTATTTATTTATGCATACAAGAGCTGGGGTACAGGCCAGAAGTGCACAGAATGAGAGGATTCACCAGAGACAGAGTGGAGCACAACAGGTAGATTGACTGAAATACATTGCTGAGACAGGAGAGGTTGATGACCATTTAGAGTCCTGGATGGATGCTCCATAAATATTTTTTGAACATATGGAACATCTGGATTAAATTTCGGGCTGAGTTCCAGAAGAAAGATGCTTATTCAGTACAGCTTGTTAATTAAAGTGTAAAAGACAGTAGTGTGATATTCTTTGATGACTTACATTTGTGGTCTAATGCTGAAGTCCTCTGTCAAGGAGGACACAGGCAACCTGCTCAGTAGCCTAGACCCTATATCTATTTTTACTGCAAATGCTTCCTTTTATTGGTTCATTCAATAAATGTTTTCAGAGTGCTTACTATGTGGCAGGCTACAGAGAAATTTGGGGTTAACACCTCGTTACAGATCCAGGTAGCTACTGATTCTTCTATTTCATTTTTATTCCATGGAATCACATCCTTTTTCCTCAAATGTTCCTTTATGTTGTTTTAGAAATCAACTCGGCACACTGAACTACTTCTAGTTCTCATGTACTCTTTCCTCTTAGCCTCCTTTGTGGTTGCTTTTCCAATATCTGGAGGGATTACTGGTTCCATCCTCCTTTCTCAACTGTACCACTTATTCAAGATAACCCCTACTCTTCTTTCAGATCTTAGCCTACAATCTTAGCTTACAAGTTTTAGAGAAGGACTTTTCTACTGTACTCACAGAACTTCTTCCAACATCATGTATCATATCATTCACCTTGACTATAATCATATACTTGTTTGTTTGGATCAATGTTAGACTATAAGCTCCACGAGGGGGTCAAGTTCACTGTTATCCTACCATAGCACCTGACACTTATGAAGTATTCAGTAAACATTTGCTACGTGAGTATCATGCTTTCCAAAGAATCAACATAACCAAGATGTCAATGTCATGAGTCTTTGTGTTAGGGACTGTCCCCATTAAATACCACTGACTATCCTTTCAACTAGCCTGGCTACACACAGCAATGGCCTCCAGTTATCAAAAATCACAGGGACAATCCTAACATAATTTGACAGTAGACTGACCATTTTCCCTCCTGAGTTCACTTTCCCTCACACTGAGACTCAAGGTGCAAAGCAATCTTTGACATCATCTCAAATAATCACAATGAATGTTTCAATTTTACTTACTGCAGATGACTCACAACCAAAGATCCATAACAAGTCATCCAGGTCTTTTTCACTAACTGTTTCATCAAGAGAAATACCAAGCTACAGAAACAAAAACAAAAAGGGAGAAAACATCAGCTCTAAATTCCAAACCAGCAGAGAAACACCAAGGGAGATCAATGCAAAGAAGGTACAAGACAAAATTCACAGTCATTCCAAAATATCATGTGCCATTACAACGAAGCCGGCCCCCAAAAGAAGGCGAGTCCCAGGGTTCACAAGCTTTAGAGCTTCGTGGGCCACTCCTGGACCCAAACATTAAGTGCAGGGCACTCACTAATATGGGTAGCATGTATGCATACATTTATCTTCACATAACTTACTTTATTAAATTACTTATCACATTCTTCACCGAACAGTCATGTTGTAAAGAGAATATTATGAGCAAAACATGTGTAACAGCCCTACATATGAAAGTGCAGAGTTTAAGGAAACCTCAAAAGGATATGCTCTATCCTTTTGTTTAAAAGGGCTACAATGTTGCAATACAAAACAAAATTTCTTAATTGCTTTTTAAAAATGACTGTACCCAAAGACCCAACATTAGGAAAGCTTTTAATGAATAAAAGCATGAAATTTTAGAGAATTGGAAAAGAAATTTGGAAGAATGACTGACCGTACTATCCTTAAAGAGCCGAAAATTGATTTGTCGTTGAGCAGCCCTTTCCAAGACTTCCTTCACTGAACAGCCACACTGAATCTTCAAAGTATCAAAGAACAAGTCATGCTGCAGTTGGTGTCCTGCTCTTTTGAGACCTAGAAAATACAGGAGAGTCATCAGAAGCCAACATAGAAAGTTTATCCTTTGCCATTGACATTTCACAGAGAAATAGAGGTTAATCCTACTAAAGTCTGTTTCTAGTCCTACTCAGTGTACTCAAGCATTTAAAAAAATGCTTTTAAGAATTAAACTACTATGCTATAGAGGATTGTGAAATACTTATACTAAGAGAAGAGAAAAATCACCGTCCATAAGTAACTATTGGTTACATTTGGCATGCATTCCTTTAGAAGTAGTGGGTGTGTTTGTGTGTGCACATGCATGTGCACATTTGATGTCATACGCATATCTTTATCTTTTAAAATGTTAATGTATTGTGAAAATCTTTGCTTTTTTGGTCAATAACTATATAATTTATTTTAATGGCTATGTAACGCTGAGTCGTGGCTGTACCATACTTTAGATTGTTAGTAGACATTTAAATTGTTCCTAAGATAATATTATTATAAACAATGCTTTGGTGGAAATTCTTTATACATTTATATCCTACTCTAGAGTAGAATTTCTGAGTAGAATATTCCTAGAGTAGAATATTCCAAGAGTAGAATTTCTGAATCAAATTTTTGGGACTTTAAAAAAAATTTCATACATATTATTCAAATACCTTCATAAAAGAATACCAAAATCAGAGTTCTTCATTTAATCAAATACCTTCATTTAATCATTGCCAATGTAATGAAAGAAATTGTACTTTAGTCTTTCAATTACATTTCTTTGATTAAGTGAAGTTGAAATCATCAACTCAAAAAGTCCCTGAGCTGCAATGCTTACTGTAGCATTATTCAGAATAACTAGCATGTGGAAGCAAACTAAATGCCCACTGACAGGGGATTGAATTAAGAAGACATGGAATATCCACACAATGGAACATTATACAGCTATCCAGAAAGACAAAACATTGTCAGTTAGAGCAAAATGTAAAGAGCTCAAGGAAATTATGTGCAATAAAGCAAGTCAGAAGAATAAAGACAAATATCAGATATTTTCATATTCATGAATAACAGTAATGTAGAAGAATCAACAAAATATAAAGCTTATCTAAACGAGAGTAGTAAGATTTCTAAGGTTGAGAGGGCAGAGCAAAGGAGAAAGGGCCAAAAAAGTATAAAGGATGATAGGTGGGGTTAGGGAGGTGGGGAAGGGCAGATACCTGCTATAGAAAATATAAGCAGTTTAAATAATTTGTAGTTGGGTTTAAAAAAGAAAAAATAGTGAAATTGAAATTTTATGGTCAGTGGTCCTTTTTATATAAAAGTATTTATATTATTATTTAAAAAATTAAATTTTATGTATTTTGCCCACTTCTGCTTCTCAGTGCTCTTTCCTTCATGTGTATGGTATAGGAGTAGTGATTAAAAACCTCATATATTAAAAACATTAACACTCAGTCTACATTAATGTTGACAATATTTTTTCCAGTTCATTTTACTTTCATGGTTTTCAATTTTACTTGTTCTCTGTTCTCATGTCCCTAATTTTTTGATAGATTTTTATTTATTTATGCATACAATAATTGGGGTGTAGGTCAGAGGTGTAGGGGGTGAGAGGATTCACAGAATGGGGAGCAGAACCAGGCAGGTCTACTGAAATATGCTGCTAAGGGGAGCAGTGGGCAAAACAGGAGAGGTCTGCTGTTGCATATGGGCTGGAAATAACTTGATAGCACTGAGACTTTTAACTGCTGCACCACCAGTAAAGCCCACCCCCAATTTTTAAAACAGACAACTGACTCACCTTCAGACAAAATCAAAGTGGCATTATGTACCCTCATGGCAATATGCTCCAACCCACAGGAACCATGGTAGATTGCAAACATGGCAGACATATTTGCCAAAAGGGCCTAAACGACAGAGATATGATGTTCAAGTAAGCGATAAAACAATTAATGAAAGGAGTTATTATGATTAATGGAAGGAGATACCAAAATGAAAAACATAGACAAAGCAAAATGATTAGATTTACTATTTTCTCTGTGATGGCTGAGGACCATTTATAGCCTGCCTGACTATCTGAGTCAGAAACAGCATCCAGGGAATATAATTCTTCTAAGGGCTTAAATAAAGCATTAGAAACTGAATGGCAACCAACCAAGAGATAAGTGGAGAATCTGTGAAGGACTACTCAAGATGAAAATGCACAGGGAAGTAAAACGCAAATAAGTTCGCAAATGTATTAGGAAAAGAAAACCAGAACCTACGAAATTAATCCCTACTAAAACCATGGTCAATTTCTCTCATAAAGATATTCCTCTTGGCCCTCCTTGGTGGTGCAACGGGTTAGGTCACAGCACTGCAAGCTAACTGAAGCCGCTTCAGTGCAAGTTCGATCCCCTACCCCGGAGGTGATCACATGGTATGGCAGACCTCTCCTGACTGACCTGCTGTTCCCCTCAGAGTGTACCTCATAGATTTGCCTGTTTGCTCCCCACTCTGTCTCTGGTGAATCCTCTCACTGCCCCTGCATCTCTGCCTTGTACCCCAATTCTGTCTGCATATATAAATAAATCTTTAAAAAAAAGATATTTCTCTTGACTATTAAATTGAGGTCTCAGAAAAATATGCATAGGAAAGTGTTTGTTCTAGTGCAATAGAAAATAGAAGGGAATGGCTTTGGGATATCTTAGATAAGAGAAACAGATACTACCACCAGGGATGCTTCATGAGGGATACTGTATGGGGCACAAAGAAGGACCCCACAGTGATAGCACAAAAGATAGAAAAGGAGGGCAGAGAGGATAACTGGAATGGATTTTATGCTAAAATGTATTCCTTCAAGATCTTCAGGGAGGAGAGGTCTCAGAAAATACTGTTCCCCCTGACAAGCCCTTAGCCAACTTGAACATCCTGGAACAATCTTTATCTTTTATCTCAACCTTTTCAGAGATGCCTCAAGAGTTCCATTAATATTACCAGTGAGCCAATATAGATCATGTCCTCAAGCACAATCACCCCAAGTACCCTCACTTTGCTTTCCACATTGCATCCTGGAGGCCATCATCTCAGCCCTAAAAAAAATACTCCCATCACCACTCATAACAGAACGACCCAATGGCCAAGAATGCCATAGACCCTGAAGTGTTCAGTATGTACATGCACAGTAGATCAGTGACATACACTATATTTATATTTGTATGTACTATATTACCATATATAATCATATACTGTATACATGTAACATATACTGAACAAGACCACAAAGCTTCTCTACTAATAAATTCCTAACATTTCTGCTACTCAGTAGATGAACAAATAAGTAAATGATAAACTATATTTTACAGGCTGTAAGACTTCAGTGGGCAGGGCAGGAATGTGACATACCTGAGCTGTACAGATGTTGCTGGTAGCCTTGTCTCTCCGAATGTGTTGCTCCCTGGTTTGAAGAGCAAGACGATACACTTCTTTCCCAGTAGCATCTCTGGACCAAAGTAAGGTATTGATTATCACAGATAATACAGCATTAAGAGTTGTAAAAAAAAAATGTACATGCCTTTTTCCTTCCCTGATTAAAATGAATTCAGAAAATTTATTTGAGTACAAGATTATAAACAATTTTCAAAATGTCCTGTTCTAAATAAGACACTAACTCTTAGTTTATGCTTTGAGGATTTGAGGCACTGAGCTCTGTAAATAACTTTAGAAAACTTAAAAGGAAAACTTCCCTGGAATTATTCAGCTGAATAAAATGATGGTGATTAAGTTTCATTCTGATTTCTTGGTAGACACAGGCTAAAAAGGGCAACTGACAAAGGATTTTCGTAATAGAAATCTAAATTGATCATGCAGTTGTCAAAAGTATTGATGAGCTTACTATTTATCTGATGAAAATTTCCTTCCTGATACAAATAAAAAATTCGAGTAAAAACAAAGTTTGAGCTGTCTTGTTTCTTTCACCAAACTCTAGGTTCTAATTTTCAGAAAAGCATTAAGGTCAATATAATCCAAAGACAATAATTAATATATTAAATATTTTAATTATAAATTTTTCTGCTTGATGTGGTAAGACAATATTGAAAAAACCTAATCTAAGAATACCTGAAGAAACTATTTTATATTAAAAAGCAATGTGCACTTTGTTGTCAAGTGATGAATTGAGAATTGATAGTATTTTAAAAACATTATCATAGTGCTCACCTGCGTAGACTTTTCACTTACATTCATAGCCCAGTTTTTATGAAATGTCAAAAAGGCCATTTCCAAAGTAACAGTCATGATATTGATATGAATTCTTAACTAGTAGGGAGCACTTGAGAAAGTCCATTTGAAAGTTTTTCAAATCACTAAGTTTCAGACTTCTAGGAAATAACGTATACCAATGTGTGTATAGTAATCTATCATAGTGCTTGTTTTTACATAATTCTATGGCATGAAAATACTTTTAAGAAAGAAGCTAATTAGATCTGAACAATATTCGGTTTCTTAAGGCATTCATCAACCTAAACAAATTCACTTGAAGGACTTTCATATTAATATTTTGCAAATGATACTCACACATTACCAGATGCATAAAAAATAAGTTATTTGGCAAAATGTGCCAGGTTATACCCCAAAAAGGTTATCTCTTCTGAATCTGTTAGACATTTCTTTAACCAAACCAATATGGCCCAAATAAATTTAGAGAGGAACAAACAACTTCTGTGAACAGGAGAACAACAAAAACCATAACCATAATAAAACATGAGTTGCTTTTACCTTGTTACCCCCACCATTCTTCCAGGCATCATCCTCACCAAGCTTTCTCTGACAGCAAAAAAGGCTGCATGTGGTCCCCCATAGCCCAGAGGCACCCCAAATCTCTGTGAGCTGCCCAGGGCAATGTCTACCCCAAATTCTCCAGGAGGCCTCAAGATACATAGAGCTAAAAGGTCTGTAGCACAGCAGGCAAGAGTCTAAAAAGGAACCAAATAGAATACAATGCTGTTACCTGAAGAAAGGAGGTAGGAAAGAAACAGTTTTACTATTCTAGGTAATAAAAGTATGGAAATTAAGACTCATTAAAATAAGAATAATAACTAGACATGGGAACACATCCCCATGGAACCCTAGGAGAGGTGATTTGCCTACCCCTGTTTGATGGGCTCTCTCAACGAGTTCCATAAAGTCTTCCACCTTCCCCTCAGTGTCTGGGTACTGGAACAACACTCCACAGACATCTTTTCCACTGAAGTCCATCTCATGGGGTAATTTCAGTTCAATGAGGACTCCAGTAAATCTAGAAAGAAAGAAGACATAGGACAGTCATATCTTTGGTTTTCAAGGGAAAATTAAATTACTAATAGGTGATAGAATCCTTCCTCAATACCTCTCACCACACCTCCCTATCTCAGCACACAACACACACATCTTATCCCATACCTGGCTCTTCAATGGTGACCGCGCTTTACACCAACTAAAGTTCATTTGAGTTTAGCTTCCACTTCTCTCACACTCACCCTCCCTTTATCCTGCCAATACCTTCTCCTGGGAGAGAACAAGAAACATCACTTCCTAGGGCTAAAGAATCACTACCTGTATCAAAAGCCTTTATGTTTTTACTTGCATCATTCTTAATGAATAGAGAGACATCAATATGATAATCAAGAAGACTTCCCTTACATTTTAAATACCATCCAATTCCAATCATATGCCAAAAAAGTCTTTCTTAAGGATCAGTGGGAAAGGGTTACTGGGGCATTTCTTGGATATTACAAGAATGCAACTGAACACACCCACAAGTGGTAGCTGCGCTGTGTTCATTTAACCAGTTAATACTAAACAAATATATGTTTTCATGTACATCAAATTATAATGATATTATGGATTACCTACAAACTATGTTTGCAAGAGCACACATAAAATCATAATTTCTTTTCACAAAAAGAAAGCAAAACAAGGTAATTTAATACAAAACAGGGGCAACTAAAGCCACTGTGTATTCTGTTCTTGATTTATGAGTGAGATCCCAGAAAGATAAGTAGAAGGAAATGTAAAATTCAGCAAAACCTATTTAAACCAGTTTGATCTCTAATCACTTTAAAAGTGTGAAAGTGATAGAAATAGCAAAATCAAATACAATAATATCCCTGAATTCAAAATGCAAATAAAATAAATTACTTGGCACGAGTCTGGATGACAGCTATTGTCTGTGGATGACAACGGGGATCAACAAAAAATTTCCTCCTCTTGTTGTGTCTGTTGAAAAGGAAAACTATAATCAAATATGAATGTTAAAGAAACCAGAGTATTTACTAAGACTGTAAAGCACAATGCTACATACAAAAGTCTAAGCATACTATCAAAAAATGCTGAGTCGATTATAAAGACATTATTGAGTAGCAGGCCACTGAAATCCAGTTCCCATTCTAACCTCATTCAGCAAAATCAATCTTCAAAAGTTTCAATTTTTAAAAAAACATTCCAAGGAAAAAGAGAAAGGAAAGAGATTCAATACAAGTGGAAATAAAAACACTATCTCTTCTAAATAAAAACATCTGAGAATTTTATTGCAGAGGAACACATGAAAGATTATCTAAATCAAGTGTCCACATTCCACAAAATAGAGATAGGCTGTGACATGGCTACTGAAGGAGCAGGGTTGAGTGCAGAACCCTTATCCTGGGAGTTCAATCAGTACATAGTTTCAGGAAATGAACTGATGGGGATGTATAAAATTTCATGTATGATGGGCAAACATGGGTAAAAAGAAAAGGGTTAGGAATACACATATATTTTGCTATGCATTTTAATTTCCCCAAAAAGTATGTACTGAACAGTTAATAGCAACTTTCTCTGCGAAATAACAGGTTTAATTTGCCGTCATAGTCAACACTCCTTGAATTTAATTTTTTTTAATGACAAACATGAAGCTAATTGAGAAGTAGAATAGGGAAGATACAAAAATGATTACTTCTGGCCCTCCCTGGTGGCGCAGCGGGTTAAAGCACAGCACTGAGAATCTATAGCCACTTCCGTATGAGTTTGATTCCCGCCTGCCCCGGAGGTGACCGCATGGCATAGCAGACCTCTCCTGACCCGCCCGCTGCTCCCCTCAGCAGTGTGCTTCGTCGATCTGCCTGTTCTGTTCCCCACTCTGTCTCTGGTGAAGCCTCTCCCCGCCCCTGAGCCTCTGGCCTGTACCCCAGTTCTGTATGCACAAATAAATAAATCTTTAAAAAAAAATGATTACTTCTACAACACAATGATCTTCCCACTTTGAATCTAGATAAAATTGGAGAAACAACCTAAGTCTAAAGAACCTAAAATAAAAACAAAAATATCATTATCCTGGGAAAAAAAAATATCAAAGATAAAAAACACACTAGGTTGTTTGTCAAGCATTAGTGTTAGATGCAGGTCCAAAGACAAAAGAATTAGGAGACAGGAAGCAAAGCGAGTATTTGCAGAATGTGAGTACTATTAATACTAATCAGTTCAGGACTGAACTCCTGACTAGAAAACTCTCAGCTTCTGCAAGTGTGAGATGAAGTTCTTATTTAGAAAAAGAGGTGGTGTGGAGCTGGGAGAGCATCAAGAAGGTAGATGAGGGAGAGATAGATGAAAGTGAGTGAACAGTTGAGAACTATGAGGATGGGTGTGTGGAACAGCATTCCTCTGTGGTTTTCCATCCATAACCACTGGAAGAGACTTAACTCAACCCCAAGGCAATTCAGGCAGAAGAATCTATGGTTAGAACTTAGAAGCCTCCAGACCTGCCCAACAAGTTTAGGACTCACTACCCCTAAGGCCTGTGGAGCCAAGAAAGAGGCTTACACAGGCATCTGGGCTCAGGAACACAAAACCTCACACAGAAACATCATGAATGAGGGCAGATTTCCCAACCAGATGATCATTTACATGAGAACTATACCAGGAAGGTAAACTCCACAAAGTACCCACAAGGCAAAGAGTGAAGGGAAATGGGGAACTAGAGAGCAATTATTAACTGTACACCATGACCCAGTAATTCTACTTCTAGAAAAGATGCCTCAGGAAATGATTAGAACATTTGACAAAGATTTATCACAAAGATGCACAAAACAATAACAGGGGGGAACAAACTATAATAGAGGTGAGGTAAGATTAAAAAGCATGTGAGTACTAACATGTAGCCAATAACAGTGTAGAGAGGAGACAAAGAAATGGGGGAATGTTCACAAATTATTAGATATGAAAAGACAAGAAATTCAACATTAAGTACAGCCTAAGTCCAACATTATTCATAAAGAAGGCAATATTTTGTTGTATATTACAGTACATTGCCAGTTTCTACTGGATATCCACCCTGCCCCTCAACCTTAGTAACAGAACCCCAATATGTAGGGTACAGCAATGTGACCCTATCTAAAAAAACTAAAATTTCCCAGGAACCTCCCTGGTGGTACAACAGGTTAGAGCACAGCAGTATGGAGCTATCACAGCCACTATAGCATGAGTTTGATCCCCAGCCAGGGAAGCGACCCACATGGAACAGCAAACCTCTCCAGAACCACCCAATGCTTCCCTCAGCAGTGTTCTGCCTGTTCTGCTCCCCACTATGTCTGGTGAATCCTCTCACCTGCTGTACCTCTGGCCTGTACCACAGTTCTGTATGAATAAATAAACTAAAACTTTAAAAAAAAAAAACTAAACTAAATTTCTTCAGTTCACTTGAAGGAAGAGGGGTGTATAGAGCATAAGTGACAGTTGTATAGTGGAGGTTTCTTAAAAATTGAACAGGGATATCCCAAGTGACTTCACATGACCATGAGGATGAAAGCCTCACACCAAAGATGGCAGAGAGGATCACTGGTCTCCAAAAACTATCTCAGAGTTGCTGTAGATTCCTTGACATAACATTGTGTAAAAGAGCAAAGAAAGAAATATCTTTCTTAAATAATGTTAAGCAGTGACTTTTTAAATTAAAGTATATTTGACAGATAATATTGTGTAAATTTAAGATACAATGGTGGTTTTTTGAATCCATGACTATTTCAGGTTTTTTCTTTAAATCTCACCTTAATAGCAGAAAGATGTATAATACAATGTATCTCATACATACACATAAGGAGGGACATGGGGAGAGGTGGGCAAAGCACAGGGCACAGCCTGCCAGGCAGGGGGGGGGCACCTACAGATCACCCTTCACCCTGAGGACTCAGGGGCTGGCCTCTGACCTGTGGCACAGCTGCATGGCTTCTGCAGCTGCAGTTGCCTCATCCAGCAGGGATGCGTTGGCCATGTCCATGCCTGTGATGTCACACACCATGGTCTGGTAGTTGAGTAAACTCTCCAGTCTGCCCTGAGACACCTCTGGCTGGTATGGAGTATACTGTGTGACCCTGTGAGAGACACAAAAGGTATAGCCAAGCTGTGATACAGTATTCAGAAAACCTCACAAGGTGGTCATTTTAGAATATGGCACCTGAAAATTAAATTTGCCTCTCCTGAAAATTATATCATACATCAGTAAGCTTCCTTTTTAGCCTTTGCCAGTAAGCTCAAAATTAAATCATTGTAACATAGTCCTTTGTTATTTTTTAATCTTATACTTCTATTTTAATGGTCTTATATATTTGTATTTTATATCAGCTACCTCCTAAAATCCATTTGAGTATACTTATGTTATATACAGAAATTTCCTATTATCTTTCTCCTAGCTAGAAGCTAATCCCCGGCCAGGGTGGTGACCCACATGGTGTGGCAGACTTCTCTTGACTCATCCACTATTCCCCTCAGCAGTGTATTTCAGTACATCTGCCCATTTTGCTCCCCACTCTGTCTCTGGTAAATTGTCTTACCCCCCCACACACACCTCTGGCCTGAATCCTAGTTCTATATGTATAAAATAAATCTTTAAAAAAAAATTCACCACAGTACTGAATGTTGAAAAAATAAGCAACAAACTAAGTGTCCACTAAAAGATAGTAATAAATTATGTAATATTAATTCTATGCATTCAGTTAAAATTATGTATAAAGGAATATTTCTCAATATGGAAGATGATTATGATATATCATTTTAAAAGTTAAATATAAAGTACCATTGATCCTGTTTTTGTAAATTTGTAAAAAAAAAGTGAATTGGAATATACACAGCAGTTTTCTCTGAGTGGTAAAATTAACAGTAATTTTTGCTCATTTTATTGTATGTTGTAAAATTTAAAGATATCAGTTACTAATCTTCCATGTCTTAGGAACATCTTTTACAATATTTTTTTCCTGATTCTTATATAAGTTCTTGGTTTAAAAGTGGGATTATTCAAAAAAAAAAAAAGTGGGATTATTCAGATATCTATTGAGAAAATCGGCCAAAACATTTAACATAATAGATGAAATGTAGGTGCATTTCTCTTCAGTTCATTTTTTCTTTTGTGATTGGCTCACCTAAGTGTACTACCTATTTTCTGTTGGATTGTCTGCCCACTTTTTTGTTGACTTGTGACTTTTTTTTTTTAATATTTATTTCTTCCAGCTTTACTGAGGTATAACTGATGAATAAAATTATGTATATTTAAATATAACAGTATGATTATCTGATTTACATATACTTTGTGATGTAATTACCACATTCAGGTTAATTTACTCCTGCACTTTTTTTAAGGTTACACATATTTATATTTTTTTTTATTTTTTTTTAAAGATTTCTTTACTCATGCTTAATGAACTGGAGTACAGGCCTGAGGTGGGGGTGGTGAAAGGTTTCAAAAGAGACAGAGTGGGGAACAGATTGGGCAGATCAACTGAAACACACCACTGAGAGAAGCAGTGGGTGGATCAGGAGAGGTATGCCATGCCATGCGAGTCAACTCCCTGACCAGGGATCAAATTCATGCTTCAGTAGCTTTGGAGAGTTTCGTAGTGCTGTGCTTTAACCCGTTATGCAACCATGGAGAGCCCATATTTATATTTCAAAGTAAGATTATAATCTATGTAAAGTTTTGTACCCTAATATCTCCATTACTTGTATTTATGGGCAGTTTCTAATAATTTTAAATATTACTTGGCAATATAATTTTAACTGAAATGTGACGTTAAATCATTTTGTGTCGATTATTTAACAAGTTAAATACCACTTTTGATTTTAAATATTAGAAATAGCATAACACTGAGCAGCTATTTCTTTGTCCTAGTTCCTTAGGATAATTTCCTAGAAATGGAATTTCAAATAAGCTATATGAAAATTAATTCTAAATCTCTCAACATATCATCATATTCTCTTCAGAAAGATCTTATCAGTCTGTACTAACTTGACTAGTATTATTCACAGGTTGGTTTGACATCCTCATCAATGCTGAGTATTGAGAAGACTTGGTTTCACCTTTCACTATTTAACTTAACTACCTGTGAAGTAGGACAAGTAACTAAACATCTGTCAATTCATCTTGGAGATCGATGGAGATACAGCATCACCTACAGCAGATATTTTCTTAACACTCAAATGAGACAAAATATATGAAGTATTTTAGGGGCCTCCCTGGTGGCACAAGGGGTTAAGACACAGCCTTACGAAATGATCAGCTGCTACTGTACTTTGGGTTCAATCCCAGGCCAGGAAGGTGACCCACATGGTGAGGCAGAACTCTCCTGCCCTTCTGCTGCTCCCCTCAGCAGTGTACCTTGTCAGTCTGCCTGTTCTGCTCTCCACTCTGTCTCTGGTGAAGCCTCTCACCTCCCCTGCACCTCTGGCCTGTACCCCAGTTCTGTATGCATAAATAAATAAATCTTAAAAAAAAATTTATCTGCACATCCAAGAGGGCATTACAGCTCAAATGGGATGTGTGATAAAGTCAAGATGCATTAGCATTTATTCCAAAACAATCAGTATTCTTTATGATTTTAGCAGTGACTTTTCTTTTGAAATTGAGAAAGAGAGTGATAGTGGACGGTTTTGCAGTAGGACAAACATTTATGAGATTCTCTTATTTTAATCCTAGCGCCAAAGTTACACAAAACAGAAACAGCCACAGAGAAAATGTGAGTTTTCTATATTAATGACTGGTGTAATCAGCACTAAAACATTTGAACAGTGACTTCCATAAAAATAGATTTTCAATATTTCTTTCAAAAATAGATTTCAAATAGATGTAAATTTTCTTGTAAGAATTCAAATGTTCGTATTCTTTGGAGGCTATGTTGTCCATTTGTTTTCACCTCACGTCACCGGAATTTGTTGGTTTCATCTCTATGGAAACCATTCGGGTGGGCGATGATGTGAAATGTGCAGCCCTCCCTATCAGCCCCGGAGAGGTGCAGTGTGGCCCACTGGTTCAATCAGCTTTCAGAGAATGAAAATGTAGTATTTTAAATGTGCCCCCAAACTGGGACTGCAAAGCAGTGAACAACATTGCTTCCTTCACAAAACATTGGCGGTGCCTACAGTAAATCAACACATCCACTCACAGCCCGGAAGCAATATAGTGAATATTCTGTATAGCCACCAAGAGCACAGACTGCTGCCAGTATTCAGAAGGCTGGAATGCTGCGGCCCATTCATGTCCTTTGGAGGCTCATTTTGTAAGGGGAAGACAGGCTGGCCATTTGCTTTTGACAAATTTGGAGTTCACCATTCAAACTTTTACAAATATCACAGTGAGAAAGAAACCTTCAAAAATGCAAATACATTGCACTCACCAAAAGCAGAAAAAGTAGTTCTTTCAGGGTTACATATTCATTCTCTTAATAAAGAGATAGATGGAGAATGGAAATTAAGTGTTTTGGTGGTAATCATAACATAATCTGTATAGATACTGGATTATACTTCCGCACTTCTCTATATTTTAACCCAATGTTACTTTAATAGAAAAAAAGCAATTATTATTTAATATAAATGCTTTAAATTTCCATGAAATGTTACTAAAACTTTAAAAAAGGATATAAAGCCTATTGAAACTAAAAACCCTGGACAGGAACAATAAGGCAAAATGGTTACGCCAACAGATCTGGTTTCATATTGATGGGACATGAATAATCACATGTAGAACAAGGCACTCTCAGCAACCAGGATTGTATTTGCAGTATACAAAAGCAGAAAAAAAAAAGACGCTGAAGCACTGTGCTCTCGGCCAGACTGATCTGTGCCATGAGTTAAACAAGGGCTTTCATCCTCAGATTTACATCTGGACTTGAGGCAGCAGATGGAGGCTAACTGTGCAGATGGTCAAATGCCAATTAACTCATCCATAGTTTGCTTGTGGATAGTGTGGGAGAGAATGTAAATCTATATATCATAGTAGTTCACACGGCCTATTTATTCCTACTACTAAGAACACTTTGTGCAAAGTTTAAAATCATGTAGGGGGAAAATATCAAATGGTTCAATAAACAGAGAAAACCTAGGGAAATGGAGCAAAGGATTAGGAAAAAGACAAAACTTGCAGGCAAACCTTAGACCTGAGACATATAGCAAAACAGAGGAGGGAAAAGCACATGGGACTATGATGATGATTTACAGATGCTGTGGTGGTGGGAGAATTATGGGAATTACATTTGAGAAGAAAAGTCAAATGTTGTACAAAAATGAGCAATAATGTAAGAAAATTTTTCAAATATAAAATACAATAAGATCTTCAGGGCCTCCCTGGTGGCCCAGGAGTTAAGGCTCAGTGATTTCACCACTGTAGCCTGAGTTTGAGCCGCACCAGGAAGAAAACCCACATATGCTACAACAGACTTCTCCTGTCTTGCCCACTGCTCCCCTTAGCAGTGTATTTCAATAGATCTGCCTGTTCTACTCCCCATTCTGTCTCTTGTGTAACCGTTCACCAACCCCCCCTCCACCCCACAACAGCTTTGGCCTAAACCCCAGTACATGCAAATAAATAAATAAAATCTTCAAAATGTCCAAATTGTCAAAGTTTGGGTCTGCACATTTCTGTGTATCTATGTTTTAGAGGTGACTGGATGTTTTAAAGAAAATAATGAAGGAGTGGGAGAGGAATGATCAGGGTCTTAGTAGAGTCAAAGATACAAAAATTATAAATATAAGGGAATATGATTAGTATGAAACCCATCTGGGTTTGCTTACTGGCACTCCTAGTAGTTAGGCACTGACCCCACCCCACAGGATAGAAGACAAGAACCTCATATCTTCAGGTGTTGACTGGAACAGTTAATTCTTTTGGTAACTTGTTGTATCCTCGGGTTTTTTACATATATCTGGTTTTTTAGTAAACAAAAATGGACTATTGACTATTTCAATAGTCTGTATTAGGAGGGCAGGTGGAGAACTTATTATGAGGCAATTGCACAAAAATGAAATTTCTGGCCACTCAGAATTCAAATAAAATATGACGCAATTTTAGTACATATAAACTCATAAGAAACTGGGTCTTTGTTGGCTGTCCCATACGGAACTGCAGACATTACTTGCAGGTGGGCTCCCAACACCACCTGGCAGGGGATTGTGATCTGCTCTGCCTTGGGCCTAAGACATCCTGATACTACCTCTCCTATCCACCTCCCCTGGTTTCCCTGGGAGTCCATAGCAGTGTGGATATCTACTCTACAAGCAATGGAAACTACCCCTCCTCTGAAGCATTCAGCGTATTTTTGAGATATATTGTTGTGGATCTTTTGAATGTTTCAAAAGCTCATAAGGTGGCAATTTTCTGATTTCTGCTACAGAAACCCACCTTTTCTTTACTGAAATAGAGACTTCGTGGGTAGGTCCTAACTTAAGAGTGATCTCTTTGTCTTGCTATATAACTACCTTTGAAGTACACAGGCAATAACTTACATAGTAATGGACTTACTAGAAATTAACATTATCTCCTACACTAAGTAAAAAAAAAAATCACCTAGGAATTATCATTGCCTCCCCAAGGTTGGTTAGTTTCTTCAATAGAAATAATAAGTGCAATGACTGGAGACTAGGAGAAAGGCATCATTTGAAGTAAAGCTTCAATGTGAAGATGCTGGTATATATAATGACTGATCCAAAAACAAGGGAAATAAAGATCCAGGTATCTGTAGCTATTCTTCCTCACAGATAAACTATCTTTCCTAGTGGACAAAAGAAATGTATGCCCTGGGCCCTCCCTGGTGGTGCAAGGGGTTTAAGTGCAGCACTATGAAGCTATCCACAGCCACTGCAGCATAAGTTCGGTGCCAGGCCAGGGAGATGACCTGCACGGCATGGCAGACCTCTCCGGTCCAGCCAGCTGCTGCCCTTTGCAGTGTATTTCAGTCAATCTGCCTGTTCTGCTCCCTACTCTGTCTCTGGTGAATCCTCTCACCCACTGGTACATCTGGCCTATACCCCAGTTCTTGTATGCATACATGAATCTTTTTTTTTAAAAAAGTATGTCCTTATCTACTCTGATACCTCTAGAGCCACAACCTCAATGTGTCAAGAAATATCCACGTTGTCTTGTTTAGTATTGAGGTGTGAAACTGTTTTGTTCTTTATATAGTAAACAACTATGGTAAATAGCAAAATAGCATGGAAGTGAACTTGGGAAGTTTTCCTCAAAAGCAGGAGAAACACTTCCAGTTTGCAATCAGTGGGAACTAGAGTAGCCCCAAGGTCAAAGTTGGTTTGGTTACCTGAGTGGTGAAAACTGAGTAAGTAACTGAGCTTGCTGCTCAGTCTCTTCTTTTACAGTTTGTATGTGAGCCCGTTCACAGAATACACATTCTTTTTCTCTACAAAGTGCTAAGCAATAAATGAATATTGTGACTTTTAATCTGTTAATCTAACACCATATCATTTTTCAGTTCATTGTGCATCTGAATTATTGGGTTAAGAGAGGAGAATTCTTAAAAGTCTGACACAATACACTAGACCAAAATTCTGACTCAGTAAGTAAACTCAGACATATCCTAAAGTTCCAGTTTCTCCAAAGCCAAAGCCCTTAATCTGCCCAACTACAGGCATGACATCTTGCTCAAAAATATTTACAATGACAAAACAGAGAGAGAAAAAGATTATCATTATTGGCATTCATGATTTAGAATTTGAAGATAATTTGTAGGAATAAAAATTGAAAAGTTTCTATTTCTTCTACATTAGAATAAAGAAATTTCCCAAGTCAGAAAATGGAAGGTAGATTCCAGTGGTTAGAGACAACACCAGACATAGGTTTCTATGGACTAGTTAGAAGTTCCAAGAGGGATGAGCCTGGGAAGACAGGAAGAACTATGCAAATCAGACATACTACTGCTGTTTTTAATCAAGTAATACATTACCATCCTGAATTTTCCAGTAGGTTCCGTGAAATTGCCTGTGGCACTGAGCAGTTATAATAGCCCATGCCAATATATGATCTCCAGATCTGGTTTTTGCTGGAAATAGCACGCAGAGTTGTAAGGATGTCACTTTCACCTGAGTGTAGAAAAGAAAGAAATTTAACAAAGAGAAAAATGTCTCAGAAAAGTACTGTCATTGTAATTGTAAATTCTCATTTTGTTTGATTATTTATGGGAGGAGAATACCTATATGGAAAATATAAGAATCATCTATCCAACTAACACTAAGTGCTGTTGGCAGAAATCTGAACAATACAAACACTTAATTACTCCTCAAGGTTGGTTCCTTGTGATTGTTTCTGGCTCTTCTTTTTTTTTTGACTTTGTCAGAACTGTACAATTTGAACACTTAAACTTAACTAAGTTTTAATCACTTAGGCAAATGTCTGGATCCTTTAAGACCTTAGGACTCAATCATTTAAAGTTTAAAACTGATTAATGTTAGTGCTGCTATATCAGAGAAAAATCTAGGTATAGCAACCTAAACTGCCTAGGAAGATTGTTTTAACCCTAATAAACCCTGTATGAACATTATTCTCATTGATCTTTCTTTGTCCTTCATGAAAACACTTTCCACTCTTCACCTCACCTTCCCACTCCATAGCCTTTCACAGGGAATAAATTCACAAGAGATGGATCATTTTTTCCAGATTACTTTAAGGAAGGAAAGAACAATTACTAAGCAGTTTCATGAGTAAATGTAAACCAATTACTTTATGGTGAAACAGCTTGCTGTCTCCCACTGAAAGTTGAGGAGAAACAAATGAAAGTACAATAAACCAGTATCTGAGGAAATAAGTAAGTAGAGCATCCTTAAGAAGGACAACCCAAGAATCATTTACCAAAGACTCCTTGGTGGTAGAATGATTTAGAAGCCCAGTAGGAGAGAAGATTAATTAGCAGTGCCTTTCAGGCACAGGATACAGCAAGGCCAACTGCAATCAAGATTTGTGCAAGAGGGACCGGTCTCTGTTTCATATTATCCTCTGAGGACAAAAGTGCCAGCTCTCAACTGAGAACAGTCTGTGGAGGATTTTGTCTGTCAAATCAAAAGTTTAATTTTGGGGATTAAGGAGTATATAGAATAGTATGCTTTTCCCCTACAATATAGAAAGACACTCTATTGGTAACATGAATAGCCCAGAGGTGAAACCTTGAAGATAAGGTGACATGAGATGTCAGCCCAGTGACCTAGGAGGAGAAGGACAAGCAAAAGTTGTGAGTTGAATTTTGCCTTCTAAATAAATATATATTCTTAAAAGTCCTAATTCTACATACCTGTTAATATGACCTTATCTGGAAATGGAGTTTACTGCTGCAATCAAGATAAATGATGGCATGGCTGGTATCCTTATTTAAAAGAAGGGAAATTTGTACACACACAAGAAGACTGTATGATAGAAGCACTAATGGACTAAAGAGTCTGAGGCTTGACTTGTTTCCTTTTATAATTTCTTTCAGAGATTAAAAACTTTTTCATCATGAAAACAATTGGGCTATGGCAACTGAGTGAATAGGAATTAAAGCTAGAAGCCAAGAAAGTGTCTGATGCAAAAAACAGAAATTAACTGTTTCATACTATATAATAGCAAGACCTCAGCTTTACCAGCCATAGATAATAAAAAGCATTTTCCAAAAGCACAACTTAGTGAGTATCTGAACTGTTTCAAATGTTTATTCACTGATCACCATTTTTCATACACATTAATGAAAACTCACTCTGGATAAAAGATCCCAGAGTTTGAGCTCCTAGGTTAAACAATGCTTAAGTCCCATAGATAGAATGAAAGAGAAGGGAAAGTCACAGAGATGTACCTTCTAGTGGTAAACTTTGATAGAGAATTATTGAAGCATTATTGTTAGGCATAGTATGTTGACATGTAATTATAGCTGTGTGAATCTACAGTGCTGTAAACCAACATTACCTTAATATACAGGAAAAAGGGAAGAAAAAGAACAACAAAGCCAGATCTGGTGACAATATTGCCTTGGGGAAATAACTGGAGGGTGGGGGGTGCTCAACTGTATTTCAGACCAGGTGAAAGCCCTCAAGCATTTCTAGTTGAAAGCATCATCACTGTTGATAGGCTGAGATGACCAAAATATGATCATGTGCTTATTTTCATATATTTGCATTTATATATTTACATATTTTAACCAAAATGAAAATTATATATAATGAGAGAGAGAGAAAGCTACCTGATAAACCTATTTAAAATGGAGCACAGCAGAATTGAGTCTCCAAAACAAAGTTAGGACATGATCCTTAAAAAAATCCAAATACTGGTCATGAATGTAAACTACAATGAAACTAGCTAAGGGAAAATAAGACAGAATGAGAAAGGGAGCATCCATGAAAAAATCACTGGAGGCTGGGTGTCCCTGGTGGTTCAGGGAGGTTTAAAGCCTCAGTGCTATCAAGCTACTGTCAGCTTGAGTTCCGTCCCAGGCCTCTCCCTCTCACTTGCTGCTCCCCTGAGCAACATTATCTCAGTAGATCCACCTATTCTGCTCTCCACTGTTCATGGTGACTATTCTCTCATCCCCCCCACCTCTGGCCACCATCCCAGTCCTTGTAAGCATAAATAAAGAAAAATCAATCTTAAAAAATAAAACAAACAAACAAAAAAACACTGGAGGTAACACCCCCAGCCATGCAAGTGGCGGAGCAATCCTCTAGGAATCTCGGCAAGTTCTTTTCTGCTAGAACAAACTCCTGCTGCTGACCTTGTTTATTTCTCTAGCTAAAAGCATTGCATAATGCCCTTGTCCTAATGTACCAAGAACAGAGTTCACTGACCTGGGGAACACTCCCCAAGAACCAGCAGGTAGCTCTCACTCTGTTCCTGCTTCTCGGAATTCAAAATGAATCCTTCTTCCTTCATGATTCCACATAAAATCCTTTCCACTGACAACTTCCTTGTCACTATGCCTAAAATAACAGATTTTCTGTACCAAATACTACACTAAATTAATACATCCCAATATGAATACAGCATTTTAGTTGTCAAATGCTCTGCTAGGCCTAAGTTTTAATTTCCAATATTCACAAGTTTTAACAAGAATTAGGAAAATGTTATCAGAATGGACTCAAGATGCTTGCTATACTTAGGCACACACACCCACCCTTTTCTCCACCTTTAACCTATGACTATGAACACACAGCCCTATGATTATTTCTCCTCAGTTGCATAGGAAACAATGTGTATACACACACACACACACACACTTCCTTGAAAATCTAAAAATAGGGCCCTCGCTGGTAACACAATGGGTTTAAAGCACAGCACTATGAAGCTATCCACAGCCACTGCAACACTTCCATTCCCGGCCAAAGAGCTGACCCACGTGGCTCAGCTGACCCCTCCAGCCCATTCCGTGGCTACCCAGCAGTGTACTTCGTAATCTGCTTGTTCTGCTCCCCACTCTGCCTCTTGTGAATCTTCTCACTCCCCCACCCCCTTCACTTCTGGCCTGTATCCCAGTTCTTGTATGCATAGGTAAATAAAGCTTTAAAAAAATAAATAAAGTAAATCTAAAAATATGATACCAAATTTTCTACAGAGTATATATATTATTCTGCCATTTACATTTTAAAAAGAAAAAATACAGATGCATATGCTATATGCTAAGAGAATAGCTCTCATATGATTCTCAAGAAACTGATAAAGTGTGAAGGAGTCTTGCTTTTCGCTTTTTATCTTTTAGCGCTTCCAACAAAAATAACATGCTTTGGACAATATGCACCTGTGTGATATTTTTTTTTAAGTTAAAATGTCATGTCCAGAATGAAATCCTGTGAAATATGTGGGTGCAGATATCTGTTAGTACCTCAGGAGCTGTTCACAGAACTCTCCCTAAAACCCAGAAGTCTAGCAACAAGGAACTATTCAACCTGCATCAGAGCCCACCCACCCCCACCACCACCACACTCCCCACCCTACATGTGCTTGACAAGCTACTCAGAAAAGGACTCCAAGGAAATCATCAAGTCTGAAAACCCTAACACTCATATTTGAATTTGCCCAGAAAGGCCTTTTTCTGCCAGAGGCCAAAGGGAAAGCTGGGCCAGAATACAAAGATAGATACTGTCTAGGCATACTTCCCTGGCCAACATGCAGATTCTTCACCTCAAATCTGCTCTGGAAATCATGAGGTAGGGTCATGGATCTCAGTCAAGGGGAACAGACCATGAATGATAATATTTGTCAAGATTTTCTGAGTGGGAGGACTCCCTAGTGGTGCAGGGGTTAAAGTCTCAGCACTGTCAAGCTACTGCCAACCACTGAGGCATGTGTTCAATCCCAGACCAGGGGATCCCACATGGCAAAGCAGCCCTCACCTGTCCTGCCTGCTGCTTCCCTCAGCAGTGTATCTGTCAGTCCATCTGTTCTGCTCCCCATTTTCTCATCCCCCACGCCCCCCACCCCCTACACCTCTGCCTTCCTCCCCAGCTCTTGTATGCATAAATAAATAAATCTTTTTTTAAAAGCTTTTTTAACTCTTATTTGTCACATTTGCTCTTTCAGCAGAAGAGGTTTTCACAAGCAAAGTCTGTGATTCACAGAATTTGCACATTTCAGGAAGGCAAGCCAAACCCTAAAGACATGGGAATACGGGCATGGGAATTCTTTGAATTGAAAACCCTTTGAAAATGGCAGAGGGTTGTACTCAATGTGACAAAATGTCGTGAGGGCAGCATTACACAGACCTGACCCAGGACATCTTCCCTAATCCTGCCAGTCTTGTTATCCTGCCTTTTTGTTCAATTAACAGCCCTCCTCAGCCAATCCCTCATGACCTTAGGGCTTAAAAGTGCTTTCCTCCTCCTACCACTCAATAAGTTTGTGGCAGTTCCTTGATCCTTGAGCAATCCCTCCAGCTTTTCCTACTTACTCACAGCTACCTCGGTGGTAGAAAAACTAGAATAGTGTCCCACAGCAAGGTAGTGGGGATGAAGGGTGCAGTTATTTGCTCCTTGGACTTGGGTCACCCTACTTCTGTGGGAGATTTCCTCACCTCCTCCTTCACCCAAACTGTGAACATTTTTTTTTTTAATGTAGCTTAGTTTTTTTT